TTTACTTAACTGTCAAAACCTTCAATTTTCGACTCACCTATTACTTACCTTTCATGCTGGAACACCATGTATAGTTCTTAAGACAAAATCGATGAGACTTTTTGACTTGTCATATTTGAATATATCATGACTTATGATGTACACTTTTTACTATTCGAGTATTTTAGTTACTTGTTGTAAGGCGAGTTGCCCGTAAGAATGTTCAAACACAATATGAATATAAGTCCCCAGAAAAGGGTATGCGGAAACAGTGTTGTACTTAAATACCCGAGAAGTGTAATTCGGCCGACACTTGGAAAGTCTCGAATGAACAATAAAAAGTCAAGTCACGTGTACACGTATAAAATATTGCCATGTACATCTTGCACATTACACAGAACTTACTATACTTGGCCGCACACAAATAGCCTTTATATCCTTAGCACAGTAGCACAATATAACTTGATGCGATTTTAATACACAGTGGAATCCATTGAATTTTGAACTTAAAAAAAAAAAAATCCTGATAAAATAAATATTAAATCAAATACAATTTAAATTTTAAAAAAATAATAATAAAAAATATAGTAGAAAACGTTTTTTTTGTTGATATTATGCGAAATTGGTTGAAATAAAAAATTCATATTTTTCTATTCTTAAGAACTTTTATTCATTTGTATACATTTGTTTCTATTTTTTTTTAGGAATCCTATTTTAGGTATAAGTATGAAAAAGTCTACTCGTTTCTTGAACTTACATCTGGTTATACCAGTAAGGTAGTTTTTAATCATTAGATTTGTTCAAAATCAATTTTTTCTTCTATTTTCCCAAAAGATTTGACCAGATTATAAGACAAACACTTAATAGATTTTATCATAGTTTTTATTTGTGGGTAAAGATGAAAAAAATATTTTTAATTAAATAAGATTTTTTTTAAAACTTTGAGTGTTGGACATTTATTATTAGAATTATTTTTTTTATAAGAGAGTTATTCTATACTAAGATTTATCTTGGCTAATGTAACAGTAAAATGCAGAAACTTATAACAAACCATATAATATGAGTTGCAGAAAACTCACAAATTATGGAAATTTGACTGAACCAAACACATTTTATCAGGACACTTTTAAATAAGACGGTTTTTTTCTCAGTTACTATAACAGTTAAACGTATTTACTTATTTAGATAAAATAAAATAATTTCTTAGATGACTTTCGACAATGAAAATAAATAGGTATTACATTTTAAAAGGTTGGGAATTTAAATCAATAAATACAAACTAAAATTTACTCTGCACATATTTTACCTCATTTTCTTTATTTTTGGATAACTGTGGTAAAATATATCAGTAGAAACAAGAACGATTCCAAAATTCTTCTAAAAATATTAATAAATCCTTTACCAGGAATTTAAACCATTCAAATACTTTGGCTGATAAACTTTTACATTAGCATGCAACACACGTTCCTCTTATTTGTATTGTATATATATATATATATACATAAATTTACATACCTATACTTACATTGCTAAACGTTAGGTATTTCATTAGCTTATCCGAAATCGTTAACATATTTTTTATGGCTTTTTCATAATTTTACGTTTTGTTTAAAAATATTAATATAATATATTATATTACAAATAATATTATCCGGACAATTCGGTATTTTGAAAACAATTCCAATTAGTTGCATTAACTTGTAAGTTGAAGTTTTAAACACATAGCGATTGTTACTCAAACGTCAAACAATACCTCTCTTTGTTCAATCCAACTGAATCAAACTGCAAGGAAGTTAAAATTTCATTGAAATACAATATTCGGCTTACAGCTATAGCACACGGCAAAGTAAGTAGTATAATAATATACAACTTGGTCATTTGTCTTAACGTTTTTCATTTAAAATTATTAAATCTTACTTCGAATAAATTAGACTATTGATCAACATGACGACCATCTTCAAATTTGTATTTACTGGTTTTCTTATTGAATTCAGTACAATGTACATGATATAGTAATAAATATATATATATATATTCCTTGTACGAAGGAGACACATTAAATCCACAAATCACTATGTATACTATAACGGGAAACTTTGGACTTTGCTTGAGTAAAATGAACTTACTATTATCACAACTTTGTTGTTTCCAGACAAAACAAAAATCCGGTAAATAAAATATAAGGTATCCGTTAAATAAAATATATTATGCTAACACATTTGGAGCATATATTTATAGTTGTTGTTAGTATAATACATATTTGATTTAAACTGATAAGTTTATAACATATAAAGTGTATAATATATATATATATATATTCTCAAAAGTTTCCAGTGTGGATTAAAAACATTGTGCTAACACTTTTGTATTGTATTAACATTATTTACAAATACCTTGAAACTATAATAACCCCTCGGTAGGCATTTAAAAATATTAAGTCGTGCTGTTCCATATTTAATAGGTTATTCGGTAAATATTATAAACCTACATTTTTTTTTTATTTGAAACTATTTTATTTAATTTGCATTAATGTTATTGTTAATATTTTGCAAAACGCAAAAGACCTCAGGTTTAACAGTACAACAAAAAGTGTGGAGTTTAACAAAAACAAACAAAAATGTACTTACATTTTTTGGATTTTTTTAGACCATTCCGAATGCAGCTTCACATTTTGAGGTACTTTCATTAAATAATAATATGTTATGTAAGTTCTTTTTCTAAAATAAAAAATTCGAATAGATTTTTTACACTACTTTATATATTTTGCTGGTTACAAGTTACAACATATTGAACTTACCGAATTAATGTACAATTTTTTTGAGGGTTTTTTTTTAACACAAAAGACAATTTTAGAACATGCGTTAGTTGATTTTCTATGTACACAATTCTACTAAATTATTTTGCCAAACGCATTATTTGCCACACTATCTTAAAGTAATCAATTTGGTATTCAGCTTGACGGGTGGTGTACGCTGCAGGTGGAAAAGGAGGGATAAACCATTGCGTTATTAATATCATGATGGATTAATTTTGTTAAAGTGAAGATATTTACGACCACAGTAAACCCAAATGTCCAATACAATAATAATACCCAAGAGAAAAACAGTCATGCCATATTATATTTGTTTACTCCTTTACTTTTAGCACCCTCGAGGCAACTATCATTTTTATAGAACTATCAACTCGGCAGAATAAAATTTAAAAAAAAACATTTCCGTCATTAAGTAATGGCTATTTTCCATTAACGTTAAGATAAACAGTATAATATAGTACCGTACCTACCATTGAGAGGGGTGAGATGGATTCTTTTATTCAACTCTATTACATTACATAATTAAAAAAAATAATAATAATTTTAAGTAGAAGTCACACTATTGTACAATACTTAACATAACCTTGAAAAATACATCTCTTATCATTATCATTGTTATCTCTTATTATTATCACTGTTATCTGTTATCATTAAACGTGTAACCGCACAATAATAATTATAGTACCCTAATAAAAAAAAAAGCATGTTAAATAATTGGTTAATGCGTGTAGCGTCGTAGCGTTTGTTAATTAAAACAAACATTACTTTAGGTTCAAAATATATTCAATTCTTATGGATTAAAATACACGGTTATATCATTAACGCAATGGACTGACTATCTGTACCTTAGTTACACACACCAAATGTCAATTAAACGTACAATGGTAGATGGAAATTGTAATTATATAGACACAGTACAAAGTGTTGATATACGCTCAGGACACAATATTGGATTCCAGAAATGCTTATAATGTGTTAAATCAACATCGAATACCGCATTCAATTATATTTTAGAACTAAGACTGTATGTTAACTTAAGTAAACACTAAACCATGTGCAAACTAATGTGCAAACTTTTCTGGAAAAATGTATTATTGTTATTAATTCAGTTATCAAACAACTTTAAACGAACCTGACGGGTGTCAATGAAACTATTTAATTTTAATTATTACTTTGTATATTAAGGAAATTCTGTTGAACTGATGTTATACAATAATAAAAAAAAACGCCAACCATTTTGCTTAAAAAAAAAATAAAGTTTTAAAAGTTAGAAAGAAACGGATATCAAATGTAAATAATATACGCCTTCTTAAAAAAAAAAACGGTTGCTGTATATAAATTATACAACACTCCTCTTGGACAGATTCTCAAGAGCGTTTGCCCTGTTGGCTGTTTGTGAAAGGTTCACAATACCTATGTCAAGTAATTCGGTTACTACTACCTGCACTCTACTAATGTAATTCCCGAACACCTCGGTACATGTATAATACAGAACACCCCGTGTAGCGTAGTAATTCAATGTTTTATTGAAATAATTTACTTTGGAAATAAAAGCCAAACCTCATGAATGAATGAGTTTTAATTAGGCGTATCACATATTTGTACATAGACCCTCCCCCCCCCTCGGAAGCCGCCCCTGAACGATATATACATTTAAATATAAAAGTGTTATGCAAAACCAACACACACTTTGGTTACAACGAAAGAGTATTAACTTCCTGTCTTTGTACTTACATTAATGAGTCGGCTAAAATCGTTCACGCCAACGCAATTAATCATCCGAAATCTGATAGGATTTTTCAGTTTATTTATTTTGTGTACAATCTGTCGAATAACCGAACAGATTAAAAATGCAATAGGTGTCGGCAACAGCTTAAGGTAAATTTAACGAGCAAGTTTTTTTTTTGCTTCTTTTCCGACAGCTTTTTAATCAAAACGTTCTTCAAAGTTTACGTTTTCATTATTTATATTTTCCTTAAGACCCTTTAGTATCTGAGTTTTAAAAAAAAAAATTTAAAAAACCACTTAAGTTCAACACAGTTTATATATAATATAACATGTCTTGGTAACTTTCGTTTGACGTTGTTGGAATTTTAATTGTTTATGTATTCCAATAACAGCTTAAATGTTGTCTTAATGTAAAAAACCATTATCATATACATATTATAATATGTACCTATTTATAATAAGGGCGGTCTGTCTGTTGCAGAGAGTTGTGGATAAGAGCTATTCATCGAATTCACAGCGAGAAAAGAAAACGTTATCAGCCAAACGACGCGCAGAGGACAGCATCGGACTCGAACATTACAATAGTATACAACTTTGTTTTGGATCTTTTTGGAATTCAAGTTTTTGATCTAACTTTTATTTTCCAACAGGAGACGTTCGACGGCAACACAGATAACAACACAACGACCATTTCGGGCATTTCACAAATTCCAGGTAACTGATCTCCGTGCCACGATAACCGTCCAAGCCTAAAAGTAAAGTACTTATAAGTACTCATATTAAGTACTCTTATAAGTACTTCAGTTCTGTACAGAAAAATATTTCCATCGCATTGCGCGAATCGTCTGTCAATTTTATCAATGCCAACATCCGTTTCTTTTCACAGCGCAGTCAAAGACATGAACAAATCTTGTTTTTAACGTCGAGCCGGATGTTTCTCTTATATAATATATATATATATATATATATATATATTTATCGTTTCCCCTATGTATATCCGTTAGAACGGTCCAACCATTATTTTCATTAAACCTACGTCGTTTATTGTACATTATTGTTTATCTAATCGATAAACAATAATAAACGCTCTATAATTAACGTTAAACAAAAAATAGCAAACATTATTACCTGATATATTGAACACAGCTATTCCGGTTACTGTAATGCCGGGTTGCACCAAATATTTACACAGAGATAAACTCGTTTAACTGGAGTTAAAATAAATTCTGTGCATAAGCCATGTATTAAATTTTTATCTGTTGTTAAAAATGTACTTTATCACAAGTTAAATTATAGGGTCATTTATCGCATAATATGTATGTATAGTTAAATTTTCTTATCAATGTTTTGGGTTAAGGTGGTGGTAATGGAAATGTGCGTTATCAGTTTATCATTGATTACACCTTGTAAGATATTGACTCTGCTACTGCTGATACCATTTATTCGTTAACCAGTATACTGGTAATAACCTGAATATAACCTAAATTTAACACATGTCAATTTAAAAAAAGTTAGTTTATTACGATGGTGAAAAATTAACCAATAGATAACAACTAGTTTGGTGCAACCTGGCATAAGTATGTATTTTCGAATTGCACAGATTTGTATTTTCAAGCCCTCATAATTTATATAGCTGGTTAAGTAACGTTTACATATTTTACTCAACGCTTCAATTTATCGGTTTAACAACTGAACTATAAATACGTTTTTGTGTGTATTTACTACTCGGAAGCGTCACGTCGAGTTATTGTTTTAAATAGATGCAGAACAAACTAGAAATGATGACAAACAGAACAAGAATTAATGATAATCCAGAAAAGTAGAATCCCTTTAGTAAAAAAAAAAAAAAAATTGGACAGTACAACATTTTGATAACTTTTTCCTTAACGGTTCGTACATTAATGAGTCAAAAAATTTTAAAGTTTGGGCAAACAATTATCGTCAGTACTTAATCATACAGTCATCTGTATGACGACTAGAATTTATAACAACAATATTACGCAAAGATAATGTAGGTTAATATCCGTTATAGTTGATATAATAAAATTAAAATAATTATCCAACCGGAAGAGATTACCTCGTTATAATATTTTTTTCTACGTTTAATTTTGATTTATGGAAACTAGGAGACATTTTCATTAGTGTATTATTAAATTAAAGAGGAAAAAATAAGTGAAATTTCATTTAAATTTATTATGTACACATTCTAGAGTGCATTGTCTGTTTTTTAATATACAAGGAGTGCTATTTGATGCGATTTATTAAAAACCAAAACAAATTTCATTTAAATTCATTACGCCACGCTTGCACAAAGTCTAAAGCTTTTTTTCAGTTTCCATTAAAATCCATCACAATTTTTATTAAATAACAATGAAATCATTTTTGCAACAACATGACAACGTCAAATTGTCAGATACAATAAACTTAAGTCGTAAGCTCTTTAGAATAATATAAATTTAAAGACTGTGACGTTGAACTATATAGAGTTTGGTTGTCTTTAAAAATGTTCAATAATATGATTTAGAGTTGGAACTTTACTTGGCCGGTGAACCGAAAATATATGAGTCTGAACAACAGTTTATTATTACAATTGTAATTTTTATAAATAAAAATAACAATACCTATTGCAGTTATAGTGTCTAAATGAATTTAGTTGTTGATGTTGTCGAACCTAAACAAACAACCCTTTCTCTTAGAAGGGGTGGAATTTTTTTTATTTTTTTCGCTTTTCATGCAAAGTTTTAGCGGTTTTTGTATGAAAATTGAACCAGAGACCAGATCTAGGAACGGGGCTATAGCATATTGGATTTCATTAAAAACCTATAGTCAAACCAAAAAAAAAAAATAGGGGAAAACTACACTTTGACCGTAGTCAGAGTTCTTAGGTTGCTATGTATGGTTTCAGATTCGCATCGGAGCGTTTATTTTTAAAGTGATTTCAGGTATACTAATTCCTGTAGACCTGTGACCTCTCCATCGCCACTATACCCTGACACTCCATAAGACTGCATCCAAGTCCTGTGAATTTGCAGTGTCACCGAAATCCCGACTAACTATTAATCGGGACGTTATTGTTATTGTTATCTCGAAAGCGCAGGATAATGTGTATCACAACTTGGGTCTCATATTTTGATCGAGCAAAAGGTTTCTTGTGTTCAGAAATTATAAAAAAATACAGTGCGATGTTCGATTGCACTTTTGCGACAAAATGACGAACGGAATGGGACGGGGAAAGGCCGAGAGGGAAGAACAACAACAACAACCCCCAATAGATTGGTGTCGAGAAGTGGGGGGGGGGAGAGTGGAAAATGTACACTTGATAAACGACCGTGTTGGGGGCGGAAATAGCGAAACTTCTCAACTTCCTCCTGTCTATTCCTTTAGCCGTTGCTGGGGTTTATTTTTCGGTGTGTACATAATATCCACTGTCTAAGTCGTTACGGTTTGTATTCCAAACGGTTATTAGATAAGAAAATCGATCCCCCCCCCTTCCTCTGATTCCAAAGTCCGGGGCCTCAAGACACCTCTTTATCGCGGTGTCTAATAACCTTAAGTTCTTTTCGCGACCGCTGGCCGAAAATGTTTTCAACATAATAATAATTAAAAAACGCGAAAGTTGTGCGCAGAGAAGGTTTTTTAGTTTCAGTTAAGAGGGCGTCGCGTTGCCCATTTTTAAGGAGTAAAGTATAGGCAATTTTTTACAAAATCTTAATTTAAAGGTTAAACCGTGATGTGTAACTAATTAGTTCAATAACTAGGACTCTGTTTTGGTAGTTGATTTATTTTTTGGACTATCACAGCATGCTCGAAAGCGATTTAAAAATGTTTTTCATCACGACTTGTTTAAGCAGACTGAAAATAACTCGCTTAATTTTGGATTTAGAGTAAAAGCACCCATTATGAAACTAGAAGAGAACAATATTTCGGAGGGCTATTTTTTTCATTATTCTAAGTATAACGCTCAATACATAGTTTAGAAATAACGACTATTTTAACATTTTTAAATGACTGCAATTTTCCAAAAAATTAATTTTTTTTTTTTAAAAAAGCATCGTCTTGCCCTCCGGAATACTGTTTTAATCCTTTAATTTTATAATGGGTGCTTTTACTCTAAAGCCGAAATTAAGCGAGTTATTTTCAGTCTGCTTAAACATGTTTTTACCACTGAAAATCACCGGTGCGACGCCCTCTTAATTTCATCACTAAAACACAAAGGCATAGGGCCACACTAGACTGTGTACGTACAGCTTATATGAACTACTTACAAAAATAATTGAAATAAATACATAAATAAAAGGTTTACTGTTTAGATATAAAAACATGTATAGTATATTAAATTATATAAATTAGTTGGTAGTATAGGTTTAGTGGGTAAATGTCGTAGTGGATTTTAGAAGAATCCAATTTTGAACTGTTTGATGCCAAATTTTGAACCATTCGCTTACATTTTTGATACCTTAATCATTTCGGAAGACTGTATGAGATGTTTCTTGTGTGTATAAATCTAGTAACTAATTAGTTAGTTTTGTCAAACTTGGGACGGCAGTCGTTCAGTGACATTTATTTGTCAGTACTTAAGTAAAATTAAAAATCAATAAATAGTACACACTTTAATTTTAACATCTACTTTTCATTAAAAATTTGAATACACAATCTTTATCAGACTAGCACAAGAATATTAGAGGAATATGGATCGTTTAAATGTACAACGATCAACAGGTAGTTTATTAAATTAAATTATTAATCCACATTAAAAAGCCACTCCATAATCATGATTGGGTTCTTGAAAAATAATTTATAAACAATAACCGTTTGAAATGGAACGTGCCAATGTCTCTTCTTTTGTTAACATCGAACGCTAATTATAACTAATTAATTTTTATCGGATTTACTTTTTGTTTTCTTTTAATTAGCCGAATACACTTTTGAGACAAAAAGCGGTACAGTTAAAAAAAACACAAATTATTAATTGTAGCTTTATTATTTTTAAGGACTGTATCAAAAATTGTACAATGACAATAATAAATATCTGTAAAAATATAAAATCCAAATCTACAACATTGTCTACTAATGCATGCCGTGAAGTGCACTTTTTCATAATAATAATAAATCAAGAAACTAACGCTTTTTACCATCTCAAAGATAGCACATTTACTGACAAATCCAATCCCACAATGATATCTTATCGTGCCTATTCCGACAGTAAGTAATTTTTCACCACAGCTGCTTTGAACGTCCAAACTTTGCTGAAGTTGTATTCACTGGCATTACTACTTCTGTCGCAAAACTTTATAGGGTATGAAAGTTTTTTTTGAATTCATCTTAACCATCGATTATTAGCACTGTGAATTACTGAATTTATACCAACCGTAATAATATAACGGGGATGATAAACGGCATGATAATATGTTCAAGCACATGCAATCAAGAGTAGTGGAATTGTACTGTAATAAGTAAATAATGATCATTATAGCAAATACTATGCTCTCATTAGCTGAGCTTATCTTGCAAGCACACGCACGTGTCAACGATATTATATAATATTTTCATCTTATTTTATTTACCGAACAAATCTTTATTGCAATTTACAACGGTACAGATCGACTCGACGATCCGATAAACTTTCGAAAACCCTAATTAACTCTTCAACGTGTACCAAATTACTAGTTTTGAGAACGTCAATTTCATCAAAAAAAATCATATAAATAGATGTTTATTTATTGGGTATATTATTGCGTTTCCTAGTGTACACAGAAATGCCTTCTATTTAATTTTGCACATTTTTATGTTGCCTTTGAAATAAAATATAATAATATGTAGTTTTTCATCTGCCAAAAAGCAAACCCCCCTTTTACTACCCCGGATAAAAGCAAAGTGATCATTAAATACTACCAAAAATATAACAGCTCGAGTAAATATAAAATGATCTATTTCTGTTTCGCGTAAACCACCCTGCGTCAAAATTAATTGGATTTATTTAGACCACATGTAGACTGATACGGTGATTTATATAGTTATTAATTTCATTTAAAAAAAAACGGCCATAATATGTTATATTTTACCTTGATGTTAGATTTAAAAAACATACAATAAAGTTAACTGTAGAGTTTTAAGATTGGCAATAGTCTAATATTAAAGTACTGTCATATCAAAAAAAAAGTCGCAACAAAAAAAAACATAAATATTGTTATTTCATATCTTATTTTTTTAGCAACCAACAAAAATATTTATATATATGTATATATTATTTATAAAGTTTTTTTTTAGAACTAATTTCGATGATATTTTATAAGGGAAATAATCATAAGAAAAGTATTATCCGTTCGAAAAGTTCAATTGACACACTAAAGTCTCAAATAAACCGATTAATTTAAATTGACAAATTGCATTATCTGTCACTGTGGTGTTATCGTCAGAACTGCGGATTACTGATTAAATATTAGATAGGTACTATATATTATATAATATAATTCCGTCATTCGGGTACAACTCAAACACGAATTAAGTAGGCTTACCTGTGAAATTAATCGATATTATTCCACTCACTGCAATATTATTTTTTGAAAATGTCAAATAAAATGCTTAATCAAAAAATAGCTTTAACATCTCACCGCGTTTTCCGCAGAAATAAATAATTAAATATCTATAAAGGATCAAGACAGAGGGATTTGGTTTGCCACACTGGGCAGAGAGGCTTCCACTGGGCTGTAGTGTAAGGTATTTCCTGCAGTTTTGTATTCGGTTCGATTGAAAGAATTGTTGTTATTATATTTTGGTTAAGAGTACTCAAGTTTCGCCCCCCGAAGGACTATAAACATAGTCAAGACTATGACAAGCTGCCCGTTAAACGTTATCAAAACAATGTGCTTATGGTTTTTAAATTAAAAAACATTTTTTTTTAAACCATTATACTATTTAATAAATACTAATTAAGTGCTACAACTCTTTAGTTTCCAATAACATATTATCTCAACACTCGTCGATTGATGAGTAAAAAAAACTAAGAAAAATGTTTTAAAGATCCTAAAAAAATTATGAAGAATTTGTCCATTTGAAGTTTCAACAGATGTTATATTACAGTCTCTTCTTATTGCTGAACACACATTTAACAAAAAAAAAAACATCCCCATCCCTTTATATCAGCTTGCGTACAAGTCCGCAATCTTCAATCTCTTATCTCTTATCTCTCTTATCTTATCAGATAAATTATCAGACATTTTCGTTAGGTAAAAAACTGTCTATTTTTCAAGTAAAGACATAAAATGTCAAAAATTTCCAAAGTAGTAATAATATTGGCAACCTCAGCTTTTGCTGCATTTACAATCTCAAAATCCGAATGACCACCTGTCAATATTATAATTACAAATTCCAACTAAAAACAGAATTAATTTAACATCAGCAACATATTTATGTTGTAAATACGTTTGGGCCATACAGCGTTGATAAGTGTTGTAATTTATTTTTGTTAAAATAAATATTTTTCAATTATTTTATTCATTAAACGTATACTTCGAATAACTGATATTTTTTATAGTAAACAAAATATACATAGAAATAATATAAAAAAACATCTCTTTTTAAATGGATGTTTTCCGAGAATAACTACCCTGGCAATAACAAGTTTTGAATAAATACTTTTGGAGTTATTAGCGTTTAAATTTGTAAAAGGTAGGCGGAGTACATGTTATAAAAATAATATTTTACTACACCACTCTTCCTCTTAAATTCTTTAAAAGCTTATAACTCCTAAAGTTTTTATTTAAAACTTACTATCGACCTTCGAAATTAGTCTTATAACAAATATAAAAAAGACATTTTTTTACTCGGGATTTTTAAGTATCCTAATAAAAAATATATATTATTAGTCCATAATAGAATAAATTATTGAAAGGAAACGTATTCGATAAAAATATTTTTATTTTCACAAAACGATACCCTGTGAAAGGTTTGCTTAAAATAAGTGTGTTTAAACAATTCATAATAGTCTCATAATATGTTTTGGTTTTGTATGAGAAAATTAATTTCAAGTACGACCTTTAAATGCCAAATATTTAGCACTTTTTTAATATTATTGTTTTATTAGTGAATAACGTATCGTTGTTTTGTTGAATAAAGCAAAGTTTAAACTTTAAGCACATGCTGCTATTATGAATTTTTTAAAAAATAAACTTTTAAATTGTATAATCATTTTATACCCACAAAAAAAAATGATCAAAGGTAACGCCAAATGTTTTTGTCTTACACATGTAGATTTTTTTCCAAGCACTTTATCTATTTTGTGATTAGATACATTTAAAAACATTTATCATAAAAATAGAACACTCATCAATAAGACATATACATTTCATCTATTAAGCTGAAAATGTTGATTAAACTCTGTTGTCAAATGTCATGTGTGTGAAATTTTTCTTTAAAACCATTGAACTCATTTAATCTTACCAACTTTGACTACTTAGCTATTAATCACTATTTCACTTCAGCAACAGAATTCGGTTTATGCTTTTATATGTTTTTATGAAGATGTGACAATGAAGGTAACACACTTCAGTATCATAGCCAGACATATTTAGGCACTGGATTTTTAAAAACGACATTGCTGACTTGAGTTCTATTTTTTAAGAACAGAATTATTCACTCATTGGTACCTCCATATTATATTTGTTGTTACAATAACAACATATAATACAATAAAGCATCCCCAATGTAATAATATAATGTTCTTAGTATACTTACAGCCTACTTTAAATTTTCAAAAAAAACTATAAAGCTATTGAAAAAAAATAAAATAATGCAGACATCTTGTAAGATGCCTTTAACATAATAATTGGTATTTTACTCTGAGCGTTCACCGGTGCGGAAAGAAGATTTTATTTTTCCTCAGCCTTTATTGAAATAATTATATGTTTTACTGTACATTTTTTTTTTCAAGAACCAATTAATATACTGAAAAAACAAAAAGCCTGCGTATCTATAGCATCGTTATACCATATCACAATGGTAGCCGATAATGTATATACAACCCTTTAAATCATTAATTATTAAACGTGACACTAATCCTGCCGAGGCAAAATATATATTCTCTCGAGCTGTTCATAATTATTTTTAAAATAACGTTTCAATAACGTTGCTTGGCGTTTGTGTGTACATATTTTACAGTCGAGTATACGGAACCGGTGTTTAAAAAAGGAAGTGTATACAAAGGAATCTATTGTCCGACGCTGACGAACAGCTTCAGAGAACCTAGTCTCGAACTATCCTACCAAAGATATTCACACAGACAGCGGCAGAAGTCTTTAATCATCGTCAACTTTGTCGACTTGACACTCAAGGCGGTCCTAGCCGGTAAAATATTCTGCGCAAATAACATTAATTACACATATTCATATTACCATATTATAGGCCGCAAGTGAGTTTTCCACGCGAAAGCCGACATCATAATTGTTTTTTTTTTCATATTACCGTTGCTTATATTATCCTGTACCACCGACACGACTTTTTATATATTAATATTAAAAGTGCACAATAACAATAATATTAACACATTGAAACGGTATTTAAAAACTAGGTGTATGGCTGTTGCCGTCCTACCAAGACCATCCGTATTCCAGTCAACAGAGAACCGTGTGGACTTGCCTGACCATGTTGGCCAACCTAACGGTGTGCCTGCTCGGTTGGTGGAAGTGTTTCGCCAACAATTACCTCCAATGGGCGGCCGTGTTCACGTGGTGCTTTATTAACATTCAAGGTTCGGCTAACCGACTGATAATATTCCCTTCTGCTCGGTTAAATAACCATCCCTTTTTTTTTTTGGCGTTACAGGATTCGTCTGGGAGAGCTACGGCCAAGGATCCAGGGAATACCTCGTTTGGTACGTACTGTTCATAGTGTTCGTCACTTATGCCATGCTACCCTTGCCGTTGCGATGGTGCATTCTTGCTGGTTGTTCGACGGCGCTGTTACACATACTAATCACGAGTTACACGAAATCTTCAAAAGAAAAGGTAAATCGCCCGCGTACATTATTAGAGTTTATCATAAATTAAAAAAAAAATGATCACACAAAATTTAATACGTTTTATTTACTCCATATGTTGCGAGTAAGAACATATCACGATCAATATTATACAAATGTTTTACGACCAACGGCTGGTGTTCTTGTTAATTTTCATTTTCCTCCATTCCCCTCCATTTGTCAGCTATTTCTTATCACTACCATCTTATCGCTAATCCTTTATCAGCTGTCTCTTATCAGCATCCGTCATCAGCCGTTTCTTATCACTGTCAGGAAAACGGTAACGGGAAATTGATAACGCCAATTTCAAATAGACCCACAGCCCTAAAACATATCCATACTAATAATAATTCAATTAAAACATCAATTTACTTGACGAGAAAATTAACGTTACCACGAGTCTGTTTACAAAATATAGTAAGATACATTGTTGAAAATAGATTTAAATTTAAATTCAGAAATTTGAGTTTTATACTTGGAATCCAAAAAACCGGTAAAATTATTTTACCATTGTGTTTTATGTGTTAAGTATATAATAAGAATTGTGTATACATAAATTATTAATGGGGATTTCGAGTAGGTCCACATAAGAATATAACATGATATTATGAGTGGTTTTTATTGTTGATTTAAATTAAAACATTTTAGTTTTTTAACAGAACATTATTATTATGAATTTAGTACTTAACGCTTGTGACTTCATAGTTGTAATTTGTATAATATACAAAATGCGTCTTACTCGTAACCTTTAAATTGGTAAGTGATAACACTCAACAGTGCCAACTATTATCACATTGTGTATTCATAGTACTTATCTTAATACGTTCAATATTAAAGTACAACTCATATTTCTATAATAGTAAAACCTTCTCACGCGGTTTATAGCTGAAATAACAGTAATAACAGCACCAAACTTGTCGTTATTTATTGGTAAATTATTTACTACCTCAATAAACTAACTTTTGTTAAACTTTATCTTTTGTTAAATTAACATGTGTTAATTTTACAAGTGATGCTCAAACGTTGTTTTAAATTCAGGTTATTACCAGTATACTGGTTATCGAATAAATGATATCAGCAGTAGGAGTTAATATTATTATCATCCAGGGTCTAATCAATGATAAACTGATAACGCACATTTCCATTATCACCACTTTGTCGCAAAACATTGATAACAAAATTTAACTATACATATTATTTACACAGCGATAAATGACCCTCTAATTTATGATAAAGTACACTTTTAACAACAGATAACATTTAAAACATGGTTTATGCAACAGAATTTATTTTAACTCCAGTTAAACGAGTTTATCTCTGTGTAAATATTTGATACAACTCGGCATTAGTTTGTTTCCACCTGGTGTAAAATGGAGATTATCTTCTCCTTCGCCCCTCTCGTACACAGAATCTCAGCTCATACGAAGGAACACACTTTAGACCTTCAAACAAATTCATCTTTATTATTGTCCAAGTCCAAGTACGACTTATTTTTCTATTCGCTTTGTGCAGAACGCTTTGTGTGTGGCTCGACAACTGACCGCTATGGCCTTGCTGTACGCGGCCGTCAACTTTGCCGGGATGTACACAAAGTATTTGACGGATAGGAGTCAAAGAAAGGCATTTTTGGAAACACACAGATCTACCGAGGCTCGGTTTAAAACGCAAAAAGAAAACGAACAACAAGAAAAACTTTTACTTTCCGGTACCTACATCATATTTTGACTTTTCAAATCGACAATGATCGTTGCATTGATGATTTATGTTTCACACAGTTTTGCCGGATTTCGTTGCAAGGGAGATCATTAAAGACATTGCTTCGGAGACGGACAAAGGCCCTTTTATGCCAAATCAATTTCATAGAATTTACATTCACCGTTACGAGAACGTCAGCATCCTTTTCGCCGACATAAAAGGGTTCACAGGTCTGTTAAAATATGCTATGATAATTTCATCATGTTAGCCCCACCACGCACTTGTAAATTAATAAACTATAATATTATAATATTAACACTATTATGTCCAACGTTGTTACAAATTAGAGTGGGCGAGTCATACTTGTGCACAGGAATTAGTGAGAGTGTTGAACGATTTATTCGCCAACTTTGACAAACTGGCAGCAGTAAGTTCGTATTAGGTCGAAGAGTTGGTAAATTAGTTTTGATAATATCCTACTTTTTTTTTTTTAAGGAAAACCACTGTCTTCGCATCAAACTCTTGGGCGATTGTTATTACTGCGTGTCCGGTCTTCCTCAGACCAGGCAGGACCATGCCGTATGCTGTGTAGAAATGGGTTTGCACATGATAAACGCTATAAAAGACGTGAGGAACAAGCTCAACGTGAGGAAATTACTATACATACACACTAGTGTGCATGCGTTATGAATTATGATTAGAAATAATTGTGTTGAATTAAAACAGGTCGATTTGAACATGCGAATCGGCATTCATTCGGGGTCGGTCCTTTGTGGAGTTTTGGGTCTTAGAAAATGGCAGTTCGACGTATGGTCCTACGACGTGACCTTAGCTAATCACTTGGAATCCGGAGGAATACCTGGGTAGGTATTCCACACTAATGACACTAATGGATGAGTTCAATGTGATGATAATATTGCGTGCTACGGTGCGTTTTAGGCGGGTGCACATATCCAAAGCGACTCTGGACTGCCTGGAAGAGGCGTACGACACGGAGCCGGGTCACGGTGAAAACAGAGACTCCTATCTAAGGGTAAATTGAAGAAAAAAGCGTTAAGCCAATACTAATGAAATACTGTTTTTAACAAAAGGACCACGGTATCGAAACGTTCTTGATCAAAGAACAAGAACCGTGTCGTGGGCAGAGGAAATTTCAAAAAGTCACTAGTTGTAGACCTCGTCTGTGGTCGGATGAGAAATTAAGCATAAACGCAAACACGCATAAATTAATATCGCCAAAATTAGGTAAACGATGTACTTGAAACATATTAAATAGGTAATAATATTAACACAATATGATCTATAGAAGAGTACATCGACGACACCAAAGGCAACGAGTGGACACCTGAAATACCGTTCGAGAATGTAATTTCTAAATTAGCTAGACTTTGAAAAACAATAAAATATAACACACAATTGTAATTTCAGCTAAACACCAGTGATCAAGAATTGGAAAACGACGACGGCGAATGCGGCACGCCTATTACCATAGAAGGCGATGTCGAACACGCCGAAGACATCATGGACCATTGCATTGAAGTCGAGAGCAACGAAAGGATGAGGAATGAAAATATTGATCGGTGGACTTTGAGGTTTAAGCAGGCAGACATAGAAATTAAAGTGAGCTGTGTTCCTTAAACTTATTATTTTTTAATTGTACAACCGAATATTACCCGACTTGAAAATCAATTGTCTTTATCGTGAAATCTATTTCGTCTCCTTTATAGTTTTGCCAATTGCGCGAAGACATGTTCAAGTCGAACATGGCTTGTTGTTTCATCATATGGCTGCTGGTCGTTTGCTGTCAGACAATCATGTTGCCCAGGTGTATGAAACTACTGGTGGCGCTGGCTTTTACCACGGTAGTGCTCTGCGCCGCGTTGACTTTGGTCATGGCCGAAGAGTTCATGCACCTGCCGTCCGCCTTGCAAAGGATGTCTTCGGTGCTCGTACAAAACCGGTTCAGGCGAACCATGTTCATTTGCGCTGTAGTCGGCCTCATATGTTTCTCTTCCACGCTGAGTCTGGTGAGTGATAACATGGATATTATGTTTTTGGGCTGGGTGCCAATCGGGAAATCTGTGACGCACGCTGAACGTTACCCAGGAAAATTTGTGCGTGTGGCGCGATCTATCGGTTGTTTTGTGAACCAAACAGCTTATAAATAATGTTTAATGCTTAGAAATAGAAAAGAGATTAGAGTTAAGAGATGGTCCAGCTGGATGTTGAGATGGTCCATATGGATGCTGGAGGTGAGGTAAGTGATAAGAGATTAGATATAGTATATTAGAAAAAAGAGATTAGTAGTAATATATTAGAGAAAAGAGATGGGAGATAATGAATTAGATATTAAATAATAGGGATAATGGATTAGAGATTAAAAAAAATAATAAATATATTGCATTAGAGATATTAGATTAGATATTATAGATTAGAGATAAAACTCCATCCCCTTCTCCAACTCCATATTGATCCCTTTACAACAGCTTGCGTACGAGACCACAACCACGGGAGACATTTTATCTCTAATCTCGTATCTCTCTTATCTCTCTTATCAGATAACTCATCAGACATTTTCGTTATGATAAAAGCTGTCGATTTTGCCGGTCGTGCGCCAAAGCAAAAACATAAAATGTCAATATATAGATAAGATATTAGAGATAAGAGATAAAAAAATAGAGATAATAGATTAGAGATAAGAAGTTAGAGCTGGTTGCTGAGATGGTACAGCTGGTTGCTGAGATGGTCCAGCTGAATGCTGGAGGTGAAGTAAGAGATTAGAGATAAAACATTGGATATTAGAAAGTACCAGGGACCTATACTTGTATATTAAGACATTTACATGTTCCTATGTACTTCCGTGCAGAGGAGGTCATGACGGGGTATAATTATTATTATAGCGATTCCAGATCGACCGATGGCGTGTGCAGTGCGCATTACACGTAGTAGTAGTAGTAGTATACAAATTAACGTCACGATACTGCGCTGTTGCAGATATTCACACCGGACGAGCACATGATCCGCAAGAAATCGTCCAAAAGCGATTTCAAAAACGACGACCGGGACGCGATCACGCTTGACGATAAGGACGAAAACACAGACTGCGTTCATCCGGAATACCTGGTGTTCACTTGGGTGCTGTGCCTGATAGCGCTGGCCACTACCCTGAAACTGTATTTCCTCGTGAAAACCCTGCTGGCCTCGATTATGGTGGCGGTGTACACGGGGCTCACGTCCGTCGCCTATCCTCAGGTGTTCACCCAGAACGACACCGACCACCGGACCATGCCGCTGTCGTCGCAAATGCTAGTGCTGTTGGTCGTGTTCCTGGTGCTGGTCGCGTACCACGCTCGGCTGGTGGAGGTCACGTCTCGCCTGGACTTCCTGTGGAAACGCGAGGCCGAACGGGAGCTGACGGAAATGCGCGAGACCCGGTCGAACAACCGACAGCTGTTGCGCAACATACTGCCGGACCACGTGGCCCATCATTTCCTGTCTTCCTCCCGCAGGCACACCACAGACGTGAGTATAGTTCAGGGTGTCTCAAAAAGAATGGTGGGGTTTCAAACGGCTGTAGGTTGTGGAGTATTGGACTCACAGCAGCACTCTGGTAGGGCTCGTAGGACTCGTGGTACATCTAGTGGCAATAATTCGAAACTTGACAACTCCCTCTTTCACTCAAGCCTTACCAGAGCGTTGTAGGTCCAATACTTCACAAACTACAGTCGTTTGAAACCCAACCATTCATTGGTCGAAGTTTGTACAGGGTCTGTTTGAAATATTTACACGGCTTACAACTCTTAAACCAGTAATGAGAGGTCCACGAAAACGCGCAGTCGCGGTAAACGTTGAGAGAGAAGTGAAGGCAAGTGGGGCGGAGAAGAGCGAGATAAGTCCATGGAGAGGGGTAGGACGGCGGGTAGAACGGGGCAGCAATAATATAAATAGTGGGGGTAGACCACGCGTCGCCATATTATATAAACCTACGACCGCCAGACGATCGCTTCAGTATACAGGCAGCAGCGGACCTAGCAACACAGCCCTGAAGATGCATTTTCGGCTAAACCAATTTGTATTAATGTGAACCGTGTAAATATTTCAAATTGAATATTGTTACGAAAAATATCGTAACCATAATGTATGTACACTTAAGAACACTAACAGCTCAAAGAGTGATTAAACAAAACTACTTTTCCCGCATATTTGTCAGACTTAAAAAAAAAACTACCAGCTCGTTTTCCAACTCTGAAATAGGTAGTTAGAACCGAATGATTTGGACTTTAATTTTTATCGAGGATAAAATACAAATAAAAAAAAAAGGATAAACCCGATTCCAAGTACATTTTTTAAAACTTAGAATTATTGGCATGTTCTCTAATTTCACCTTCTGTAGTTCGACCATGAATTCAGCATATAGATGTACATATAAGGGCCGAAGCTCCGTTTGTTTAGTTGCACCGATTTGTTATGTTTTAAAAATATCATGCCCAAAATATATTGTAGATGCTAACAAACAAACATCATATTAATTGTGTACACAAAATATTGGATTGATCAATATAAAATGAAAAAAAGAACATCTAGAATCTTCTCATATTTCATAATCGTTATCCAGGTATTATTGTAGTTTAATTTATTTAATAAAAACCCGTATTTTTTTCAATTTTTATTATTATTGATAAAAGTGTGTAATATATAAAAGAAAAATAATGTACACAACAGCATGAATAATTTATGATTTATTTTTCCATTGTTAAAGAAAATCGGTAATGCTTATTGTGTAAATGAGACGGTAAAACGAATCCGGGATGTAATCAGTTTTAACAATATTTACTTTAGCTGTATATATATAATGGACTCCTCGGGGAATACATAGAAATTTCAGACACAGAATCACATCAAAACCGGGAGACATCTAGCTGGCATATAACATTGGGGGCGACCAAATGTTATGTATTTAAATTATACAACCTATTTAAAGTGTTTTTTTTTTCAAACCACCACTTGTTACCCCGCTCGATATTGGATCTCTTTGAGGAGACTCGTGCGCCGAAATAAAAAGTACAAACGATTTTTTCACTGTTCGTATTACACTTTTGAAAAGCAACACACACGGGCCTGCCAAAAACGTGGGGAAAGGTTTTGATTGAACAAAATATATATATACGGCACGTTGTGTATTTTCCACAGGAGCTGTACTCGCAGTCAATCGATAAGGTCGGCGTCATGTTCGCCAGTATACCGAATTTCACAGAATTTTATTCGGAGGACATAAACAAAGGCATGGAATGCATCAGGTTGCTAAACGAAATCATCGGTGAGTTTGCGGAGAGATAGGTTAATTGGGCCGTGTGAAGTAATAAACATAAATCCTACACGTGCCTTCGGTTCGTTAAGTTTATTCGTCGGCATTTATATACAACGAATTCGTGAAACATCTCGTGTGCACGCCCACACACATCATACTCGACGAATCTCGTCGATTGGTATTTAGTATTATACAACCCGCTACCACCTGGAACAACCTCGTTTGATAAATAATTATTATTATTATCCAGTCGAGGAGTCAGTCAAGTACGCAATGACATAACACTATATAACATACGTTATCCATCCCACGAGAAACGTTTGATTGAAAAAATTCCAATTGAGTAGTAGGTACAATAATTTGTACATTAAAATATATATATTTTATCCGTTGCAAACGTTTCCGGCTGACCGTTTCCGTACAAATGGCAATTAAAAGTTGTAAAAATCAATACATAATATATCAACAAATGTGATAATTATTATATATTATAATCATACGGAAATCAATTTAAATTAAAAGTACACATTGGTTAGATGTCTCTTGATTGCTTAGGCTGATGACATTGGAAATATATCTATGAAAAACAATTTGGAATTTATTTTTAGACTACTCTTGAGCGAGTCAATTTCAAGTGTGTTGTTTTTCTCGCGGTGCTCACTCAGAAGAGGAGCAACATTTTCTAGCTTGGGTATTTGGGCCCATTACCTTAAGTGAACGATTTATGTGCTAGACATTTGACACCCGAAAAAAATCTGTAATTATACAGGTGTCCTAATTTAAAATACTAATCGAATTTTCTCCAAAAAAAACGAATTAAATCAAAAAGTTGTTTATAATAAGCTTTTAGAGTACAAAACGGTACGTTTAAAAAAAAATATATGGTCCAAAATTCAAAATGGCCGACTTACGGTCAAAAACATGTTTTTTTTTTAAATGGAAACCATGTATTTGTTGTTAACCAAACAAATGTTCTTATCGGTAAAACCCATAATTTGTAAATTAAGTCTCTTTAGCTATTTTTAGTTTTGTTATTTTGTTTTGATACAAATGGTAACCGTGTCATGTGTTGTAACTTTAGTATGTGTGGTAACCTTGGTATGTGTGGTAACCGCGGTATGTTCATCATTTCCTAACCAAATCTTACCATTACATTATCATTATCTTTATCGTTAACGTTATCCCTTTTTTCTGTGTATCACAAAGACCAAAACCATGGTTACCATACTACACATGACACAGTTACCATATGGATCAAAATAAAATAACAAAACTAAAAATAGCTAAAGAGACTTAATTTACAAGTTATGGGTTTTAGTGAAAAATGTTTCCTACAAAAGTTGTTATTTTTGATGAGAATATTTGTTCGGTTAACAAAAAATATAAATGGTTTCCGTTTAAAAAAAAACTTGTTTTTGACCGTAAGTCGGCCATTTTGAATTTTGGACCATATTTTTTATTTGTTTAACGTCCCCCTTTGTACTCTAAAAGTCTTTTTTTTTATTGGATTAGTATTTTTGGAGAAAAATCGATTAGTATTTTAAAATGGGACACTCTGTATATTTGTGTGTGTGTATGTTAATGTAGAACAATAATAATTACAATTATTTAAAACGAGCGTTGTTTGACAACTATAATATTATTTTATAATATCGGTATAACCTCTTGAGACATTGGTATACATTTGTCTAATGTGTGTGTGTGTGTGTGGTACGACGTCTAAATCGGGAAATTGGCCGTTTCTTATTGCCGAAGCAATAAGGGAAAACAAATACTTGCACACTTGTCAATCCGGCAAACTTCACGGGGAATTTAACAACACCGCAATAGCACCGCCGTTTTGTTTGCAAATTCTATTACAATGTCATATGGTTTTTTTTTATAATATGTTGTATATTATTTGTATGTATGTATATTGTTCTTATTAAACAGCCGACTTTGACGAACTGCTATCGGAAACAAAGTTCGAATCCATTGAGAAGATCAAGACCGTGGGCGCTAGTTACATGGCCGCGTCCGGGCTCAATCCCATAGCAAAAGTGAGTAGAGAAATAATATTGTTATTAATTTTGGCCAAATCACACGTGGGCGGCGTAGACCAAGGATACGTGACCCCAAGTGCTTGTGCTGATGATCAAAGCACTGCTATTGATAAAATATATTCTTACTTGTATAAGGCCTAAGGGACGACCGGATTAGATCATGCTTTCATGTGGGACGTCGACGTAATCGAAAAAATGTCATTCAATATACAATAATTGAGGCGCTCAGATGCCAAACCATCTGATAAACTCCACTTTTTTTTTCAAATTGCGAATAATAGCATGGTTGGATTGAAAAAAGTGTTTTGAAATTTTCAGCAGCCGAGATAAATAACTCCATAGTTGAACGTTTCACCGCTAGAGTGCGCTAAGAAAATTGGCAATTGTACTCGCATACATTGTTTCAAATAACTTCAACTGTCTGTCCTGAACATCTTCATTTTATTGGGTTAATCAGCTTGGCTTCTAAACGCCTCAAATATTATATTACACTCACTCTTGTGGGGGGGGGGAGGGGTGGCAGTAGCATCTATTTTCAAAAAGGTCTATCTCTGAAAAAGATCCGCCGAAAATTGGTATACAACTGTTTAAAATGATTATGTCGGTTTTATTTTTTTTAGGAAGGAGAAGACGAATACGGTCATTTGTGCGCCCTCGTAGACTTTGCGTTGGCAATGAAACAGAGTTTGCAAGACGTTAACGTCCACTCGTTCAATAACTTTCAGCTCAGAGTCGGTAAGAATACACAGACATGATAAGTAGCAACTGTAATTTCGACTAAGCCGTAAGCCTATTTAAAAAATAGCTTATAATTCAAAATATTGACATAAAAAACACTAATGTTGAATTTAAACAAAAATATTAAAATATATAAATTCAAAAAGTTTAAATGATTTGTGAAGATAAGTAGATAGGTATATTGATCGGTGTTATTGAGTTCAAACATCTTGTTGTTCTTAAATAAATTAGTTATATCTCAAATACTAAGACGTTCAATTTAGATATTATATTTTACAATATATCCACCTCGTTTATGCCAAACACATTTAAGTCCAAAATAATTTTCTTCCAGATTATTATTGTAAATAGCAATTAGAAAAATACTACAGTGTTTGTTATCACTGTTATCACCATTTGTCAAAGAGGTTATGATAATGATTATACAAAGAATTGTTCAAAATTTCAACTAAGTCAATATGTAAAATTACCAAAACTACGATTTAGAACGATGTGTACCTAAGCAATGTCAGATTTAGGTTGGCTAAATAAACAAACTGCAATCATTCAACATATCAACGATTCCCAATTCGATAGCTACTAATATACAGGGTGTCCAATTTTAAAATACTAATAGATTTTTCTCTAAAAATACTAATCCAATCAAAAAGTTGCTTATTAGAGACTTTTAGAGTACAAAGGGGTACGTTATAAAAAAAAAAAAATAGGGTCCAAAATTCAAAATGGCTGACTTACGGTCAAAAACGTGTTTTTTTTAAATGGAAACCATGTATTTTTTGTTAACCAAAGAAATGTTCTTATCAAAACTAACAACTTTTGTAGAAAATTTTTTTCGGTAAAACCCATAATTTGTAAATTAAGAATCTTTGGCTATTTTTAGTTTTGTTATTTTATTTTAATGCATATGGCAACCTTGCATGTGTGGTAACCATGGTATTTATAGTAACTTTGGTATGTGTGATAACTTGGTATGTGTGGTAACCTTGGTTTGTGTGGTAACCATAATATGTGTTGTAACCATGGTATGTGTGGTAACCGTGGTATGTTTATCATTATCTTTACCGATAAGGTTATCCTCTTTTCTGTGTATCACAAAGACAAAAACCATGGTTACCACACAAACCAAGGTTACCACACATACCAAGGTTACTACACATAACAAGGTTACCATATGCATCAAAATAACAAAACTAAAAATACTTAATTTACAAATTATGGGTTTTACCGAAAAAATTTCCCTACAAAAGTTGTTAGTTTTGATAAAAACATTTCTTTGGTTAACAAAAATTACATGGTTTCCATTAAAAAAAAACACGTTTTTGACCGTAAGTCAGCCATTTTGAATTTTGGACCCTATTTTTTAAATTTTTATAACGTCCCCTTTTGTACTCTAAAAGTCTCTAATAAGCAACTTTTTGATTGGATTAGTATTTTTAGAGAAAAATCGATTAGTATTTTAAAATGGGACACCCTGTATAATTATGACTATAAAACATGTGATAACGATTAATGTAATTTTTTTTAAAAATCTCCTTATTATTCAATCGACAATTGAAGAAACGACTGAAGTAGCTTTTTTTATGAAATTTAGTTTTTAGCGGAAACGCGTTCTGGTCATATTGTGATGTTTCTATCCGGTTTTATCAATAATCCAAAAGGTTTACATAAATTTACATTTTTTTTTTTGTAATCTATTGCGACCAACAGACATACCTACTTTTGTGTACAACATTAAATTCATTGTATGGTCTATAATTTGTGTGCGACAGGTATAAGCTGCGGCGCACTGGTGGGCGGTGTCATTGGAGCCCGGAAACCCGTGTACGACATTTGGGGAAACACGGTGAACGAGGCTTCCAGGATGGATTCCACGGGAGCCATGGGCAGGATACAAGTGCCGGAGAGCACGGCCAAGGTAAGCAGCACTCAGATAATTACACAGGACCACTAGGTCCAACAGGTCTCGGTCCTGTGTGCGTTATCCCAAAACTCGATTTTTCCCATCTCCACCTGTCGTCACCGGAATTAATGACTTGGACGTGTAAACACCCCTTGACAAGTTACTTTCCAAATCAAATAAACCCGCATGGACCCTATTTTTCGCCCCCCTGAACAGCTCGTTAAAATTCTGTAATGCCAGTATCTAAAAAAAAAAAAAAAACCGCCACAGACTATAATATAATAAATACATGAAAAAAAAAAAATACCCGATGAAAAATTACACAGCACTGACGTCCGGTTAAAAAATTATTCGTACAAACAATTCCTCTAAAGGACAGGAAACTTATTTATACAGTGTTCCGGTATGTTGACACAGAAACACAAAACATCCATGTGGCAGTTTATATGTCCAATCATTGTCCGAAAAAATGCCATAAAAATAACAAAAAAAGAAAACCCAAAGTTTAAATTTAATCATCCCATCGAACGAGTAGAGAGAAATTTAAGTATTTTCAAAAGGAAAGGTGTTGATCTGTGTAACGCTATTAAAAAGCCAAATAAAATATTATCGTTTTATTCTAAATAATATTTGATATTAGCTATATTACGTTATTGGTTGACGTTCAGACATATACATTATAGATAGCAACAACTGTAAAAACTTAGTTGTTATGCATGAGCTGTATAAGAAACGGCTTGCTACAGCATGGTACACTGGTTCGATCAAAAAAAGTTTTAACCATATAAAAATATATATATATAACATTATTATTATACATTATTCATGAACCTTCTTCAAACATCAACAAATTAAATCATACGGATCAAATCCCAAAACAATATCTGAGCATACTTATCGCCATTGTCTTCGACTTTGTATAGTCCAATAATTCCATCCGTCTTAATCCGATAATTGATAAATTTCCTTAAAATCATCAATTACCGATTTAAAACATAATGGAAAAAGTAAACCCTAAAATAAACTAACGAGTATCCACACTACAAGCGGATACATTGGCACACGTTTAAGTCTGTATATCCAAGTATAGGACCCTGGAATTTGTTGGTACTTTCCTCATCTCTAATCTCTTATCTTTTATCTCTAATCTAGTATCCCTAAGATCTTTTATCTAATATATTATCTCTATTTGTATGTCTAAGCCATTAATCTCTTTTCCCTCATCTATTATTTCTAATCCACTATTTCTAATTTTTAAACCTCTTATCTCTTTTTTCTAATCTATTATCTCTTATTCATTATCTCTATTTTATCTCTAATATTTTTTCTTTAATCTAGAATCTCTAATGTATTATGTCTAAGCCATTATCTCTATTTTTATCTTTTTTATATCTTTTCTATAATCTATTATCTCTAATCCATTATCTCTATTTTATCTATAATATCTTTCCTCTTTCGATAGTGATTTGTATTTGTGAGTCCGTCGGGGTACGTTTTGCGCTCAGTGGTCCGTATTTATCTGAATAGAAGCCAAGATTCCCACCAACCCGACCATCCCTTTTATAATATATACACATGTCTTTGAAGTTACATAGCGGACAGTGTTGTTATGAAGAAAAAATAGATGAAAGCTGAAGGCCATCTAGGGCGGAGGAGAAAAACAATGCATAATTTATGGAGACCAAAAATAACTGCGTTTGCATAGATTGACCGTCATCATATTATTATTTAAAGCACACCGGTGATGGATTAATAAGCGAGTCCATTGGAAATGATCACCAGACCTATTGAACCACCAATAATTTATCTATTATACGACCAACAGTCTACATACATCCAAAGACGGTTGTGTTCTAAAAGTCGAGCCTTGCGAGAATTCCAAAAATAAAAATATACTTTTATGCTGGAGGTGAGGTAAGAGATTAGAGGTAAAACATTCGATATGAGAAAGTACCAGGGTCCTATTACTTGTATATTACTGCCAGATTGCACCAAACTTGTCGTTATCTAATGGTAACTGTTGCTCAATCGTGGTTATGTGTTCAGGTTATTACCAGTGTACTGGTTAATGGTTATCGAATAAACGGTATCGGCAATAGGAGCTAATGTTATTATCATCATCATACAGGGTCTAATTAATGATAAACTGATAACGCACATTTCCATTATCACCGCTTTGACGCAAAACATTGATAAGAACATTTTTATAGATTCTGTTGGACAGAGGCTACGAGACCGAATTCCGCGGGTCGATCGCCGTCAAAGGCAAAGGCGAAATGAGGACCCACTTCGTGCTGGGCAAGAAAGGAGCAGTGGCCAACAGCCTGAGCCGTCAGCCCAGTCAGATCAGCAGCCTGGCCACGGTCGTGTACGGCATGGTGCAGGCGCGCCGCCGGCAAAACACAGTAAAAAGACATTTCCATCGTGAGTTCGCTTTGACTAACCACACTAATAACCACCAACGCGGTAACCGCATATACAGGGCGAACGATTTCACGCGCAAGACGCTCGTTTTGTCTTAGTTTAATCGCAATTTCTCAAACTCAAACGGTAAACTGAAATGTCTAATTAACTTTTTAGCTTAGGAATGATTTATGCTCGACGACTTTGTAAGTATTGATGAACGTGAACAAATCGTATCACTAACAAACACATTGTTTGATAATATAACACATGGAAATAGTGATTGTCATACTTTGAGCTATTTAAATCGGTTAATGTGTGTGTGTGTAAATATATATCGACTAACGCTTGCCTAACAATAATACCATATTATATAATGTTTCATGCTTTATTGGCGTTTTTAGATTCGAGACAAAACCGACCTACTGGTTGTGGTCCACCGTCCACATTTACTCGTGCAATAGACTTGTGAAGGGTTGCTTTGTGTGTGTGTGTGTATGATTGATTGTGTACACACAATAGTATAGGTCTTGTAAAATATGAAGGATCCCGAAATGTATTTGTTAAACTCTTGAGGTGACTACGCAAAACAAAAATCGACCTACTCGGCAAATGACGGTCGCAATTTTTAACTTAAATCAGTAATCAATCAGCATGCCTCACCCCATCCCCACATTATTCATGTGCTGACACTGTAGACATGTCATGTCTTAGCACAGCGGTTCCAGTTTCTGCCTGACAACATTTTCACTACTTAGGATGGTCCGAAAAAAAAATGCCCAAAGATATACTTTACTAGGTTATGCCCAAATTCTTATCTTTTTACCGAATTTAAGTTGGACAATATCACAATTTCGTCACAGCGAAAGCATCATCTTTTTGCCACCTTTTTCTAGTAGAAAAAAAAATGGAAAAAAATAAAACTCTGAAGCTTATAAAAAAAGGAAAATATAAACTCAAAATAAACTAAGAGTATCCACACTACAAGCGGATACATAGGCACATGTATATGTCTTTATATCCAAGTATAGGACCCTGGAATTTTTTGATACTTTCCCTATCTCTAATCTCTTATCATTGATCTCTAATCTAGTATCCCTAATATCTTATCTCTAATCTATTTTCTTTAATCTATTATCTCAAATATCTTGTCCACTCTCTATTTTTATCTCTAATCTAGTATCTCCAATCTATCATTTCTAATCCATCAACTCTACTTTTTAATCTCTTATCTCTTTTCCCTCATCTATTATTTCTAATTCATTATCTCAATTTTATCTCTAATCTCTTTTCTTTAATCTATTATCCCTTATCTCTATGTTTTATCTCTTTTCCATTACATCTATTTTAATCTCTAATCTATTATCTCTTATACCTTATCTTTAATCTATTTTCTCTAAATCTAGCAACTCTATCATCTCTAATATATTATCTCTAATCCGTTATCTCTTTTCTCTTATACATATATCTATTTTTATCTCTAATCTCTACTCTCTTTTCTCTTATCTCTAATATATTATCTCTATTTTTATCTCCCCTCGTTCCTCCTCCGCCGCCGCCGACTGTGACATCCAGCGTTACGTTCGGGCAAATTTTCAGAATGACCCTCAGCGATAAAACATATACAATATGTTAATTAACCTGACAACGAATTGACGTGGACGGAATTCATTAAAACCGCTTTTTTCTAAAAATAATATTTAAAAAAATAACCACCCTCTTTCAATCCCCTCGGGAAAAACGTAGGCTCGATGTGACATTAATTGGGGGTACTGCTACTGCCCAAAAGGGGGTGGTGGTATTCCCACAGGAATAATTAAGTAAACGTTTCTTCGGTGTAAACAAATGCGAGCAAATCTATTTGGGTTTACCTAAACGGCGTCCGGCTAACGAGAAAACGACTAGTACAATGTAGTATGGAAGGCATAAGAAAACAACCAAACAACAGACTATTGGTGACAGTAGTTGGTTGTTTTTCTTTGTATTTTCTTGCAATTTAACGAAAACTTTCTATTACCCGATGATGTTATTATCATCCGACTCGGACACAGATTAATATAGTAAACTACAACCAGGAAAAAAACGGTTATTGTGGAAATTGAAAGTTCATTATTGACAAGGACAACACAGCTATTGTTATCGTCCAACATAATAAATATATTATAATAAAATTTAAATCGCTTTCAAACGGCGCGCCGGTTATGCAATTTAGGCACACGGCTGTTTGGAAGGAAAATACAATAATAATTGTGAATTTAGAGTATAATAATATTATGCTTAAACAGCACACGGTGCTCGCTAAAATGGTTTAACCGCTTTGGCGTGGTGTTCAGATTAACACTTGGGTTGTCCAAATTTCACAAGTTACAAAACAAAGACAAGACGTTTTATATAAGGAAACGGTATTTTCAACACACACAGTCCTGATTTTAATAAAGTGGGTGTCGTTATTTAAATTTGATTATTTCATGGGGGAAACAATTAACCGTGTATCGTGCAACTCGGACGACCTAACCTAACCTAACCTAACCTAACCTAACCTAACCTAACGTGACCTAACCTAAGCTAACCTAACCGTTTCAGATGTTGGCAGCAATCTGACGCGCACCAAGTCGCAGTATCACCGCACGCATCCCGGCCGGTTGGTGAACTTCAGCAGCTTCCGGGTGTCCAGCAGTCGGCCGCAGCAGAATCACCATCAACAACAACAACAACAACAACAACAGCGCCGCCTGCAACACTCGCACAGCATAGCCCGGGCGGTGGTGGTAGTGGGCGGCAGTCGCCTGTTGACGGCGTCCACATTCGACTCGGTACAACAACAGCCGCCCAAGCAGCAGACGGCCGTCAACGGCGGCAGAACGGTTACAAAACCTTTGCTACCGGTGGCGGCGGCCAACAAACAGCGGGCCACGTTGCGGTACTGCAAGTCCGTGTCGCCGATAGCCGAGAAACCGCAGCAAAGCCCGCCCAGGTCGGTGTCCATGAACCTGGCCAAAAACGCGGACAACGGCCGGTCGGCCAACCCGAGATGATGAACTGGCCGATATATGTCTTGGTTCTTCGTCTTCTTCGTCTTCGTTTTACACATTGTATGATAATGTACTGTATATTATGTGTACGGAGATTGAACAGGTGTCTTGACCTGTTTGTTTTAACAGTTGGTACACGTGCTGCGTTCCTTCGACGAAAAAATGTAAATAATGAGAAATTAAAAAAAAAAGGAGACACGTTGACGGCCGTTATAAACGTGTCTAAATGTCCATTAATATGCATAGTGAATAATATTGTATAATGTGTTTATTAAATTGATGAAAAGTACAAAATCCAACTAGGGAAATAGTTCGAAATAGAAAAATTATCTTTTATGAGTACGGCTGTTTAGTAAAAATGATAAAATGTTTATAGGTAATATTTGAAAAAAATTGGTTTGATGACAAATTTTAGTCATGTGTACCTACTTGGAATTAGTTTGCGCACGTTTTTTTTAAACATATTTTTCTTTGAGCTAGAGCAAATGTTCATAAACTTGTTTTAAAAGAACAATCCGATTTTGTATGTTAATTATTAAATTAATCAAATACATTAAAAACACAAAAAAAACGACAACACTCGACGGCAGTGCAAAAACGACTCTCTGTATAATTATTAATAATGTTGTACACTGGCCCTGGTCACTGCTGGACCAGTGTTGCCAACCCTAACATTGTTAACCTAACCTAACCTATGGTAACAATAAATAACAATTTTGAATCTAGTTTTTCCTATGCAAAGTGTTTGTTGGGTGCTAAGTATTCTCAGATTTTTTTCCTTCAAATATTCAACAACTAAAATTCAATATAAAGTATCATGTTTAATAAAAAAACAAATGAATTACCAACCTACAAAGGACTCTTCATTACTACAAGTACTAATAAAACTACATTCTAATTGTATTTTTTAATTAACATTCAGATCTGATCTATAAATTTTCCCAATTCTAATCTCTAATAAAGTGTTTAAAATATGAGAGTGTCATATCTAATCATTGAATATTTTATTGAACTAACAAAACGTATAAGCGAGTGCCCCCAAACAATTAACATATTACACTTAAGCTGAAACACAGATTTAATAGTATTGATCAACATTTCTGGCGTTAAGCACAATATTCTGGATCTCTCACAACTTATTTTCTATTAAGTTTACATTTAAAAATATTTATTTACAAAAAAAACATGTCAATAACTTTCTCGTTTTAATTTAGTTTCAACAACTCGAGTAGGTCAACTAATGTATTATAATACAACCCAATAGCAAAACCCTTCATTTACCATTAGAGATTATTTTTGAAAAACAATCAAATTAATTACTAATTATAATAATTACAATTATTGTTAATTGTATTGTAATTGACTAACTACAAATTGCCAAATTTTAGGGGCTTGTTGCAAAATCATTATATAAATATTGTATATATTATTGTTATTGGGTTTTTTTTCCTATAAATATCTATAGATTTTTAACGTGGATTTTTCAACGGCTTATCGTAACACAAGACCGGCCAAAAAAAACTATGTGTACTCTCGTCATTTTATTTTTCTTAACTGTACATTTCTGTGAATAACAATTATATACTTGTAAAATATTAAAATCAACTTGTCGAGTTTATTATAAATGTTTTTTTCTTACTTAATGATGAGAATCATGTCCTCGATATATTTTTGTAGACCGACCAAAAAAAAAATGTACTATCTATTTTAGTTACCATATTGAACATTTTCAACTGAATATACGTGTACTATTTCACACGCTACTCTGTAAACGTCGTTAAAATTATTTATATTTCAGAGAACTTTCATAGTTTGTTAGTTTATTTCATATTTGTCTACAATTATTACAATAATTTATACTTTTACCATTACGTTATGTTAAGTGTTTTGTTTATATATAATTGTCTTGAAATCGAATCTCATCCATGTATTTATGTTAATTAAAACAATAAAGTTAATTTAATTTTCTGTTGCGTAGCTTATATTGCAAACAGTTCCACACATTTTTATCCAAAAAAACAATGTTCAACATGTTGAAAAAACTGAAATATCAACATTTATATTTTTCTATTAAATATTATATATTATATTTGTTTATTTTCATCTAATGCGCGTTAAATATAGAGAACAGTTTTCGCTAATTTTATATAATGGATTATACTTAGTAGTTGGCAGTTAAAATAAAATAAAAACTGAACACATTATACTACTAAAAAAAAAACATGCACCCTAACATTAATAATTACAATACATAGTAAAAATATAAATGTGCGATTTAAAAAAAAAATAATTAATTTTAAACGTAAAATACATATTTATATATTATTGTTGTTTTTTGATGATATTTGTGTACTAAATTATTCTAGTGGGACGATCGACTCGGAATCTAAAGCCGCAGTGCTGTCGTTGTTCCAAGAACAATCGTCGTCGTCCGATGGCACAGGAGTAACTTGTCTCGTAGGTTTGGGCGGCGTTGTTCTGCCATTATCGTTTTGGTCACTGTCGCTGTCGGAAGAATCCATGCCCCCATTGCTGTTTGCCGTCGTATCCAAAGCACACTCTTCTTCTGCACGCCGACGGCTAATGTAATAATCGCCTTTGGACGACGGAGCGTGGCTCAGAGGCGGTATTTTGACGGGCTCCCTTGTCATCATAACTTTAGAGCGAACTCTCTTCGACTTTCTAAACGGATAAACGTAACGTTTCATTTTCAGTGTTTCACGCATCAACGCTTTCAACGGAGGCGGTGAGAAAGGTCGATCAAAGTCGTCACAATCTGGCGGCGACTCTGCTGAAACGTTACCTGGACTAATTCCGTCTGCAAACGATACCTGCTTGGACGCGACTTTTTTCTTTAACGTCTCCACGTTCCTAAAAAGAATAGCGATTATATTAAATCTTAATCTTAAATATTTGTTTATATTAGTTATTATACAAAAAGGCAATAATTATGCCTTTACCTTTTTTCTCTAAGAATACTGATTGTCGGCGGTTGAAACAAGCCTACGAACGGATGTTTCACCGTTTCCATATTATCACTGTAGCTCACTAATGCAGTGTCCGATTGTTTGTCTACATTTTTCAGTTTCGTCCGTATTCTTAATTTCTGTATCACGAGCTAAATAAAAAAAATTTGAAATATAATATTATATTAAACACCGCAGATACCACGAGTTGTACAAGATAATTTAATGGATCGTACTTTCTGTTTAACTACGGTGTTCATTTGTTCGAGGTCTTGAACAAGTACTTCTTCTTCTTTTTTGTTTGTACCTGAGAAAAAAACAACAATTTATAAATCGTGAGAATTTACTCAATTCCTACATTTTTATATTATAAAAAGTAAATATTGTAACTACCTAAAATATTAGCATCGACAGTTTCATTTTCTTTATTGGGTACATCTGAACCGTCAGTCTCTAGTGGTGTCGAAGTGTCATCATTATCTGTTTTTATAGTATTTGTACAATTTTCACGATGCTCGTTATCAGATACAGCTTGTTGGATTAACGATGAATCATCCTTATGATCATCTAACGAGTCTTCATTTGCCTCGCTACGTTCAAATACGTTTAGATCGTCTTTGATCTCGTACAGCACCGTTGAAGAATTCTTCTCTCCGGTTATATTTTCAGTGTCGCAATTTTCTTCCGATAAATCGCTGTCCTCGGTATCATAGTCGGAACTAGACACATAACTGTTTTCGATTATATTTTGATCGACGTCGTCGCCACCATATCGACTCAGCACATTAGGATCGTTCAACCATTCTTCACCAGAATCGCTATCGCCGTCTACGATTTCCCATTCTACTCCGACTAATTCGTTTTCGTCGATTTCTTGATCGCACTCTGAATCCAAAGACTTTTCTTCGTCGTCACTACTGAACACTCCCGATTCGCCATCCGATGAGGCGTTAAACTGGATTAAATCGGCGTGCAACCAGTATTCGTCCACTGTGCCGTTTTCGTTTACGTTGAAGCAGTGTCTCACTTCGTCTTTGACGCCGTCGTGTTTACTAACCTCGACTGCGATGTGTACCATACATTTATCTTCAACGGCACAATAAGCAATATAGTTGTCGCTAGTAATATACAGAACGTTTGAACCGTCCTCGACGACCGCAGAATAAGCTCGTGGTCGTAAAGGAATTGAAATTTCATTATCTTGGTCGTCGGTGTCGTCTTCGGGTATCTCTTCGAGAGTATCGGGCAAAATACCTATTACTTCGTTAACGACAGGTTTGATCACCGAATATTGAATAGGGTTTTGACTGTAATGGTCAACATGTTGGCTGTACAGTTTGAAAAATTGCTCGTCGTGAGTAGATTGAACAGGAAGAATTTCACTCTCTTCAATTGTATCCTAAAAATGAAGAAATACAATTTTAATTAACTAAAAAAAAAACATTTGCTAAAATAAATGTATTAAATTGACGACTACACTTCAGTATACAGTATAAAGGGATACCCTTAATTTTATATTAAACACATTTAGATCGATCAATTTTGTTTACCAATACATCGGAAGAACACGTAAATTCCGTTTCACTCTGTACTTCTTCCGGCTCCAATTGTTTAACTTGGTCATTAGAAATATCGTCGGATGGTAAAATTTCCAAAACGTTTCCAACCTAAAAACCAAACCAATTGATTACATATTCACATACTGTTGTGCCAGAATTTCAATTCAATCACATTATAGCTTGTACATTTTAATGATTTTATGTGTTTCACTCTATCCTTTTGTTGACACACAAATGGTTGCCTATTTACAGCTAAACGTGAAACTATGCTCTCAAGCTATTCTCGTACGAACAAAGCGTAATTTAAACGTAACTTAAACTTACTTGAATAGACGATGTTTCTCCTGACAACTGATTAGAATGTAGGGAAATATCTTGCTGGCTCCAAAAACTAAATTCTTCTTGATAAGAATAATTATTTGGACTATAATCTTCGTATACACTATAGTCGACTGGGTTGAGTGAATCGTCATCGATGGCCACCATTTCAGAATATTGTGGGATCTCCGAACTGGATTGATAATTTTCATAGTCCGTTGACCAATTGCCAGAATAATCGTAACTCTCGTATTCATTTACACAATCGATTGATGAAATTTCCTCAAAGGTTTTTTCGTTATCATCCAATTCATTTTGTTCTTGGTTAACCGTAGAATTTATACTTGTATTATTTGTATCGGATACAGACACATCATTACTAAGGGCATTTCCTGGACTTGGCTCTTTGTCCCAACGCGATTTGTTCTTACGTACACCGCGACTCCTGATGAGCGTAACTTCATTTGATTTGTTCTTTCCAATGATTTGGTCTAAATTGTTCCAATCGGAAGTCCATTGCGTCACCAGTTCGTTGTTACTTTTAGAAATTTGTAAATCCACATTTGAAGTATCCGAATCGGGAGAATTTGCCGTGCTCAGTTCATTTGAGTCGTCTTTAGCCGTTTCAACATCGATTGCCGGTTTTGATACGCCCAAACACAGTTGCTCGTCGTCATTAAAACTAGTCACACGTTCTTGTGAAATTTCACCTTCATTTAAATGCATTTGGTTTATTACTTTGTTGTCTTCATTTATTTCTTCATCCACAATCATGTTATCGTTACTACTCATTTCTTCAGTTGTGTCAACTCTATCTTCAACAGTCGAACATTTTGATTCTAATTCTTCAATGTGACGATCATCTTTTTTCCCCTCTTTATCTGATGATTTCAACTCTGAACTGTCGCTACTCAATACTGAAGACTGATTAGAGTCGGAATCTTCAAAACTATTAGCAACAGCTTGAGTATCGATTTTGGATGAAATAACCGTGTGAATACCGACGCTATGCTGTTTAGATTGCAGCAACTGTGGTTCGCCGACTTGAGTAACTTTAGTTTCTTCGGTCTTTTCCGCTTGCATTTGTTTGGATTTGATAAAACCGAGCGAAGGTCCAAATCCGATAAACGGTATATGCTGGACAGTCGAAAGTTTCATTAAATTCATTTTCACTTTATCCCTGTGTGATATGTTATCCGCTACAACAATTGGTTTCGTTACTATTACATTAGTTTCACGATCGATGCTATGAGTCGCTTTAAAGTTATCAGATTTATCCAAAAATTTGTCATTTTTATCAGGTTCTAAATTGTTATTACTTTTTTCCCGTTTAGCGCTAAACATTTTTTTCTCTTTTTCTTCAATTTTGCCATCGGAGCTCTTCTTGTTGATTTTTTCAAAGGTAGTATTTTTTAGGTCATCGGATTTGTTAAAAGAGATTTCAGAATCCGAGTTAAACTCCATGGCACGATAATCCAAAGATTCGTTTTGGTTTTTTTCGCATTTATTACTTATTCTCATATTTTCAAAGGTGGTATTTTTTAGGTCATCAGATTTATTAAAAGATGATTCAAAGTCCGAATTAAATTCCGTGGATTGATAATCTAAAGATTCATTTATGTTCTTTTCATTTTTTCCCGGTTTATAACTGCTATTTATGGTGAACATATTTTCCTTCTCATCCTCCAGTTCGCTATCGGAACTGTTTTTCTTATTCATTCTTATTCTAGCAGAGGTAGGTTTTTTAAAGTCATCGGATTTATTGAAAGACGTTTCAGAGTCAGAATTGAACTCCGTCGTGGAACTTCCATCGTCGCTAGATTCAATTTTGTCGTTCTTCCTTTTATCCGACTTTTTGCTTTTAATAAAACCGCCAGCATTTGATTTTGATTTCTTTGATTTTTTTTTAGATTTAATTTCAGACTTTGATTTTTTAGTGAAAAAAAACTTCTCTTCATCGCTACTACTTAAAGGTCGTTTATTTTTCGAACGTTTATTATGTTTTTTATTTTTTGAACCGCCATCTTTGATTATAGATTTATAGTCAGTCAGGTTTGTATCCGAGCAATGGACGACTCCCCTCATGGAATTTGATTTAGTAATATTCCACTCATTGGGTCGCAGTCCAAAAAAATTCTCAGACTCTTCTTTGTCTTTGTCTTTTTTGGATTTCTTTTGTTTTTTTCTCTCTATAATATTATCCTCTTCTTCGTTCGCAGACAAGTCCGTTTTCTTTGTCTTTTTTTTAGATTTCTTTTTAGGTACAATCTCTTTGTAGCCCGATGTCTTTTTCTTCTTGCTCTTTTTCTTTTTATCCGTTTCATCGATATTAAATATTTCTTCAATTCTTAATTTTTTGGCAGTAATTTCTTCTTCTTCTTCGGATTCGTCAGACTCGTGTTTACGTTTAGACTTCTTAGACTTTTTGCTTTTTTTTCCTTTTTCTTCATTCATCTTTAAATATTTTAAAACTTCGCTGACAGTAGAGTTATCACGGTTACTTAGAGACGACGGAGTTTCTTTCGCCGTATCTGGTTTTACTAATTTGGTAAAAGTTTCCTTTAGGCAATCTTTGACCTTTTGGAATTCATCTTCAGTGCTGTCCACTAGTTTATCCTCTTTTTTTGAGTGCTTACGCTTCTTTTTTTTTTGTTTAGGTTCTTCGCTGTCGTCTTTTTTTTTAATCTCCACATTGAACGCTTTCTCAATTAAATTCAAAATACTACTATTGTCGTCGTTGGGCAAATTATTTTTAGATGATTTATCTTCTTTTCCTTTTTTCTTGCTCGCTTTAGATTTCTTCTTTTTCTTATCCTTCGATTTCTTTTTTCTTTTCTTTATTTCGACGGACGAACTGGTGTCCGAACTATCAGTTTCACTGTCCGACGTACTGCTATCGCTCTCCGAATCGCTTTCACAAGAACTATCGGTAGAACTCGATTTGCGTCTTTTTTTCTTGTTTTCCTTTTTCTTCGATTTTTTATTCACAGCCCTTTTTTTTTTCTTCATTTTCTTGTTGCTCTGAGACGATTTTTTAACAATTTTACTGTCGATTAATTCTTCGACTTCTTTCAACGAGACAGAATCTTCAGAGGACTTGGACAAACTTTCATCGTCAGACTCTTCGTGAACCGAATCATTTAATTTTATACAATGTGTGGGCGGCAACACTACGGGTTTTACATTATCAGTCGAAGTTTTCTCGTATTTTTCAGCAGTTACAATTTTCAAAAATTCTTCGTACTCGTTATCCAATTTAGTATGATCCTGTGTCTTGTCTTTAGACAACACAGCAACAGGAGTTACGTTAACTTCAATTAATGGTTCCGCTTCTTCGCCGCCTACGTCTGATGTGGTGTCCATCATTTCTTCTTGATTATTAAGATCTTGTGGTTCTACGTCTTGAACGAATGCCACATTGTTAGCGTTCATAGGTTGCGCGACTTCAACATCCATCGACTTGTCGATAACAGGGCTTCCGTCATAATCGCTGTCCCATTTGGACGGAACCGTAGGCCTCAAATCCACAACAAACGACTCGTTGGTAAATCTGGATTTTTTGACTCGTTTACTAGCAGAAAACTTATTCATATGTTCTTCCACGTCGATTTCAACATTTGGATTTTCTTTAACTTGGGTGACTATAAACGGTAACTTAGGCCACCAGCCCTTGAAGGGGTATACGTTTTTATTCTTCATTAAAGTTAAAATTTTGTCATTCACTTCATAGTAATGCAGGTCAATACAATTTTCTTTCATCCTAAAAAAAACAACAACAGTACAATCAATACTCTATTTTAGATCTAAAAAAATTGCTTTTAGTATCAAGGGCAACAAAAAAAAAAAAAATCCTCAAATCTACACAATGTTGACAATGTCTACACAATTATACTAAGTTCTTACTTTTTCGGTTTCATCGACGATAGAAATTTTTGAACGATTGCTTCAATGTCTGGTAAAAGCGTCTCAAAAAACTGCTGTCTGTTCATAAAATGACAAACGGCTTTTGCTGGATTTCGACTATACTTTAAGACTGGTTCAGTTTTAGTATGTTGAATAATGTAACTCGGAAAATCTTTGGTTTGATTATCGTCGAGTGATTTCACTACTAAGCTTTTCTGAAATTCTCTCTTGCGTTCCAATATATTGTAACGTTTATGGTCATCTATTACTTTTTCAGTATCTGCCGATCTATAAATAATAACATGGCAACTCAATACTCAATCATTCTCCTAGTCAACTAATTATAAAAATATATTTGATTAATTATTAAATTAACATCGGATAAATCCCCTGATATATCAAATGTAGTTTATATATATATATATATATAAATTATATTATATAAAATTAATTATTATATTATATTAAATAAAATTATATTATATATTTGTAATATGTATGTTGTTTTATTATAAAAAAAAAAAAAAAGAATTGCTCAATCACTGAATTATAATACAAATCTTTTAATACACAACTCACGTGTATTCCTGATTACGACCACGATCACTTGAATGCGAGTCGCCGTGCTTCTTCTTTGGCCTTGACTTTCTCTCCATTTCTTTTTTTTCATCGAGTTCGTCAAATTTGTACTTTCGAAACTTGTCAAAGTTAAAACCGCTGTTCAAAAAATCTTTCCAACTTTGAACATCCAACGCCTTCATTTTGGGTTTCTCCAAAGACCTAGACCTAGAGGGGCGGGAAAAGAAAGTCATGGCGACTTGAGTTTAATGCTGAAAATACTTCGGGTAACTGATATACCTCTATTTTAATGATAATGTAAATATCAAATAGGTACAAAAAGTGCTCAGCGCTTCCTTCACTAAGTTTATATAGTAATATTGCAGCAATGCTGACGCCCCGGGACTTTGTTTTCTGTTGATTACTTTTGCGCTAAATATTTATTATCGAATTTAGTATTGTCTTTGTGCCATAGAGATAAAATTAAACCGATAATAACCTGGACTTGGAGCGTGAACGACGACGGTATCTGTGACTTCTTCTGCCGTCATCGCGATGTCTCTCGTGCTGATGTCTCTTGAACCGCTTGCCTTGGTTTTTAATGCTAGCTGAATACTTGCCGGTCAATGATTCAATGCCAAGTTTTTGTAATATGGGAGCTTCATTGCCTATAGTAAAGTAAAAAAAATGTTTAGCTACAATGTACGATAATTACAAAAGTTTGCCGTTAGTAGGTTAGTTGTTACCAAACAAAAGAATGAATTGTATTGTTTGTTTTCATTTTCGTTTAATCGAAAGTTGTTTGTAGGCATAAAAATAATGATGACAAATATAAGAAACGTGTGTAGGAAGAAACGGTACTTTAATTTTATATACAAATTTTTAATACATGCACGAAACACATTTACCACATTTAACGTAAGATATTTTCTCCTTAAAATGACATCAACTAATTTTCAAGTAAGTACTTATCATTTTAAAATGTAAACAATTTCAAAGGTCAGAAAATCGAGTGTAACCTTTCTGAACTAGCCGAATTTTGTACATTTCATGTTCATTTATGCCATTTTTATTCTATACATTTAGTGGGTGTATACAAACAATCACTGGATAAAAAATAAACAAATTACTTGACTTACTAGAAGATGTGTTTAACGACGATGTGTTGTTAAACGACGAGTTTACCATGATAAAGTAAAAACAAAAAATATATCAAAATATATTTTTTTTCTTATGTTAAATATAAAATTTAAAATTAGTTCGATTGTTATAGCACAGCGCTAAGGGTTTTATGTAAAATAATATCCAAGAATATATTACAATTATTATTAATTACAACCAGTAATAGTTAAATGTATATGGAAAATACGTTAACAAAACATAATGAAATATTAACAGTCAGCTGTCAGACACAACAACTGCAAATACAAATAATATATTATAACGTTTTTGGACTTTTGTTTGTCGTTCTTATCTATATCTGGTAACTGGTTGTTTAATTGGCGGTAGTCGACGTTAAAAAAACATCAAAGACAAATTATAAATTATATACTGAAGTAAACAAACGGTGATAATATCGATTGTAAACAAGGCAAAGTCCAAATACAAAAGAGCATAATATAATAACTTGATAATGCACGATAGCTGATTAAAAAGATCACCCCTTCCCCTTCAGCATCGAAAAGGCACATGTTTTTCCAACTTCTAAATTTCTATGGCATAAACCAAAATTATATCATAAAAAAAATAATCATTAGCACTTTAGGACTTGAGGTCTGAAAATTAGATTTAAGGCAGACCCAGAGCATAGAAAGAAAATACACTTTGACCATAGTAAATAACTAGGTTGTAGTGTGAATCGAGTCAAACGACAGACATCTGAAAATATTTTAATTATATTGTTAATTATTACACATCAACCCTAATTAACTCAAAATATAGTTCCACGCGCTTTTTTACAGTGCTTTTATCAATTTTTGTAGCTCTGCCGTCTACTGATTCGCATCAATACGTTCTTCACGGCATTTTCTAACCGTGCTGGCTTTTTTTTTCCCGAACAACTACCTACGTTAAGTATTTATTATGATTTTATTGCTGAATCCGGATCTTACCTTAAAATTGTTGTAGCGCATCAAAGAAAAAACAAGAATAACATTTTTTACTATTTCTTTTGTGTATCAAAAAAAGGTGTCAATGTAATTCAGACACTCATTTAAAAAATTGAACGAGATGATAATTGATTAACTAGGTACACTAACGTTAGTACCTAATACTTAAACATGACTTGTCGTAAATTTTAAAAATGTAATTACATGTATAATTTTTATTTTATATACACAAAGACTGAATGACAAACGTCCAAAATATACGGTCATTGTTTAAGTACAGTTTTACTCACGAGTTCATTATCGTACAATTTTGACCGAATAATTAATATTAAAAAACACACATAGTTATCTTCTAAATCATCACACACACTAATCTGAATAAAAATCATTTGATTTAGTTTGTACCAATATTATTCCATGAAGACCCTACCACACAGTAAATTTTAATCAAATGGGTAAATTTGTTGTACGAGTTAGAAATAGTGTATGGCCTGTTTTATAAATATAAATCATACAATTGCATTATTTCTATTACTCATTCAAACTTTTAACACCTTGAAATTTGTTTTTAGATAAAAAAAAGTTGTTTGTAATCAAATTTTAATGTGCTATGTCTATAAATTTAAATACGATTTATGTTACTCGTTGAATTCATCAATACCTTATAAATAAAGATGTATAATACTGAATACATTTTTTTATTTTCAAAATATATTTTAAGCACAAAAATTCAGTAAAAGTGAAATTAGACATTCTGATGAATGAAAGTAAATCACGAGTATAGTTTTTCATAATTATATATTAAATCCTTCAAACGAATTGGATTTTTTGACTTGGAAAAAAAAATTGGTTTACTATTATTCTTCAAAAATTATTGTGTCTACATCTAATTATAGAAGACTTTTTTTTTGTGATATTGCAACTCTATATTGAGGTTAAGATATTTTGGTTTTATGCTCCTCGACTGTATTTGTTGAAAAAAGTTGCAAACAAAATCTTTATTATACTTAATGATAATCAAAAATCATATTTTATATTTAGGGTAATTTTTAAAAATCAAAAAGCAACCTACACATTTGGTTTTTCTATTAAATGGGCAGAATGATATAATGAAAATAACGAGTGATCGACAGGCAATTTTGAATCATTACTTTTACAGTTATTAGCATTTAAAGTTTAGGTGAAGATGAAAGTGCAGTTAAGTGCGGATATAATTAACATGAAAATCTTCGCCAAAGCCCATATTTTAAATATGCTAATAAGTAATAACTAAATATTTATTATATTAGTATACATCCGAAGAATGTTACCGACCAGTCATTATTTTCATTACATCATTCTGCTTTGGACATTAAATTTGAATAACCCTGTAGATAATAAGGTTATTAATATAAATACTTACTTATATGATCAATAACTTTTATAAATAATACATTATTTAAAAGTTTTACAATACATGATTTGCAAATTTTATTTTGGCAATTATTCTAGTTATCTTTTTGAAAAGCGTAAGTCTTAGGCTCGTTTCACATCTGCGTAAACACCTATGTGTTAGGTGATACGGACCTTACGTGCGTCAGACATTTATCTAATTACTAATCAAAATATTATTCAAACAAAACCACGAGGAGAAAAAAAGAAAAGAAATTATATTTATTTACCTCCACTCAACAATAATTGTTGATATAATGCTGTATTGTTTCCTTGCATGAGTTCAGTTTTTTTCATCTCTTCAATTTGTTCGATTGTCTGTTCCGCCTTGATAACTTTTACGGCTGGAAAAAAAATAAGAAAACTTTTTTTTAGCGTATACATTAAAAATTATCTATTTATTTTTATTTAATCTTTTACATAACAAACCGATCTTTTGATCAAAATTTCACAATAACAATTTATTTTATCTGAGAAGATGAGCGATATTGCAAAAACCGTTTCCGATAAACCTATGTAAATAGTAGAATAATAGTAATTTAATCGAAAAGTAATTAAATCATACAAATATAATTACATGAAAGAAATCCTATTAACATTGCAATTGCATGTGTTTTAAGCCAATGTCTATCGGTAATAAAATTGTGTATCATTACCTTTTTTAATGACAGGTTTTTTCTTAGTAGTGGTTTGGAAAATGTTGAGGTCGGGGACAAATTCACTATCATTGGCATCTCCCAAATCTGAATTATGACTATCGTTCATTGCCATAGTTTGTTCTTGTATCTTTTGCTTCATCATTGAAAATGCCATCAATCGTTTTTTCGCTTGAGTTTTACCCAAAACACTAGACCCTTTGGTGGTGGTTTTTTCTAGAGTCTCGTCTTTACCGTTTAAAATCGATGGTTGTTGATTAGGTAACTCTGTGTTTATAGCTACTGTAGGTTGCACCTGAGCAGGTTTATTAGTAACATGTAAAGGCTGTTGAACAGAAGTATTATAAGAAAGAGGTTGGGTATTTAATGGAATAACTGGCTGTATAATAGTGGTATTCAAAGGAACATCGGGAACAACAGATTGCTTATCAGCTGAGTCCATCAAATTTTGTTCAATTTGCTTTTGTGTCGACTCATCGTTTTTATCTGGATTTGATAAAATAGAAACAGATTGAGTTGGATGCTCGATCGGCACATCCGGTTTGACGTTTTCCGTCGTTTCTTTTGTGATGTCATCATCATCCATTCCAACAGATGGAGAATAACTAAGTGTTTTAAAAAAAAAAAAATGTTACAAAAAATGTCTTACTAAATGAAAGCAATCATATTTTTAATAATTACCGGTTAGGATCGTCAACAGTAATCATATTCATTTTACTGCCCGGCTTTTCTTCAACTGGTAACTGAACTGTATTGGCTGGTGGTGGTGGCGGTTTAGAAGCTGGAGTTTGATTGGCATTATAATTAAAGTTGTAATAATTTTGATACGGCTGATAGTATTGTTGACTATTGTAGTCCCACTGATATTGTGGATACGGATAACCATAATAATTACTATAGTTATACATGTAATTATAATTTGAATAATTTTGCGCATTATAATCAGCTGGTGGCTGTACTGGTTGACCTTTATCGTCCAGCAAAATTGGCGGAAGGGAGGGTAGAGAGTTTTCTGTAGCAGTAGGGGGTAAAACAATTTCAGTAGACCCACTAACATTGGGTACACCTGCTTCAGATACTTGACCTAACATTTGGTTTTGGACAAGTAAATTTGGGTCCAAGCCATTTTGAGTGTTTACACTACCACCAAGCGGTATTCCAATCTCGGCTACTTGAGGATTGTTCGTATCTTCTTGCTGATGATCATTTTCATTAACAGCTTTCCCGAAAAACGTGTCTGGATCCATTTTCTAAAATTAACAAATAATAAACTAAGTATATATAATATTTTTAGGTAAGCAATAGCAATTAAGTTGAATATGTCATAAAATAAGTGTTAATTTATGTAAGGCATCTCTAACTCGTTAATACTAACACGGACTTAATAATATTGATTACAGCCCAATAAGACCACTGCTGCCTCCGAGAATGAGGAAGTTATCTAACAATTTTCGAGTCGATAGTCCGTCGATAGAGCGGTTTCTTGTCCAGTAAATAGGACAGTGTCGAATCGGTGACAATGAGCAGTGCACACTCCGCCACTCCTATACAATATTGTACTCTTATTATACATTGAATATCATTTGTGCTATCTCTACTGTGCTGTTTTGTGAAATTTGCTAAACAAAAATTTGTAAAACTTATATTTCTAAACATAAGGGGAAAATTCTAACCACGAGGCAGCAAATCAAGGTACCTTATTTTCTAAAAATATGGTTATAAATTATAATCAAGCTATATTAATTATCAAGCTGCCCGTGGAGATGAATACAAAGATCTGAAAACATTAAACTGTCATCCCGAAAAAAAAAAACCCAATTCAGACATAAAAAGTTCAATAGTAGTATAATATTATATTGATTATTGTTTTACCTTTACACGGACGTATGCCGCTGTTGTTTAATGATAAGACATTGTTAAATTTGTAGTACGGAAATTGCGCTTCGGTGTATAATCAATGTAAACAACAAAAATGGTGTTTGGAAATATTATCCACAAAAACGTTTTCAATATTTATCGTCGTCTCGTACTGGGTTTCAAACGCACGACAATTAATTTTGAACGGACAAGCGCGGTATTGAAAATTTCAAAAAAAATCAAATTTTTAATCATTCAAGGACCGCAAAACCATTGTAACAATACTAACATAACCGAACGACAGACGGCCAAGAGCTACGCTACGAACAGCCGAACGTACACACACTATTGGTCAATCACAATAATACATTATAATCAGTAATCACATCATAGAACGGTGTTTGTACTTTGTAGTATAGTGTAGTGTAATATAGTAGTCGCTACTATAATATACACAGTAGTCTCACCTTTCAGCCGTTCGGCGCCGTAACGCTGTAATGCGATTGGCGGACAGACGGATATTGTGTGTGTGTGTGTGTTGGAGTTTATATTCTCTTTGGGCCGTACGCTTTTCCATGGAATTCCCGTGTTCGCAGTGTTATCAAATCAAAAAGAATCCATCATGGTTTTGTTGTTTTGTAGTGTTTACGTTTTTATTGATGCGCTAAAATATAGTGTAGAAAATGTATTCAACGCCGTCCGTGTCGATGCTGTTGGCGTGTTGTTGAAAACGTCCGAGTAAAGTGCGCGGGCCCCCGCTATGTACTCCAAAGGCAAAGGATCGTCGGTGCCGTCCGACGCGCAGGCCAGAGAGAGGTTAGCCCTTTACGTTTACGAGTACCTATTGCACACGGGCGCCTCCAAAGCGGCGCAAACATTCCTCAGCGAGATCCGCTGGGACAAAAACATCACACTGGGAGAACCGCCGGGATTCCTGAGCTCGTGGTGGTGCGTCTTTTGGGACCTGTATTGTGCGGCGCCAGAGCGCCGTGACAACTGTGAACATTCCAGTGAAGCCAAGACATTCCACGACTATGGATTCGTCAACCCGACCAACTACAATCCGGGGGGTGTCAACGGCATAGGCCACAACACCGGCCCGTCTCCCGGACCCATGGGTCCGATGCCGCCCAACGATTCCATTCCCCCCGGACCGGGAATGCCGCCAAACTTTTTCAATAACTCCAACATGAGGCCGTCGCCTACTCATCCTGTGTCGCAGTCGAGTCCTCATCCACCTCCAAACGCTCCTCACAATCAAATGATGAACCAGCCTTTCATGGGACCCAGGTACCCCGGCGGCCCGCGACCCGGCGTTCGTATGCCACCTCATATGCCCAACGACTTCAGTGGCCCTAACCAGCCCATGATGAACAGCATGGATATTATGCGACCAGGACCGCCGGTCATGAACCCGAGAATGAATTTATCCCGAGGTGGTTATGGTCCTCCCATGCGAGGTATGCCTCCCAGTAATGTAATGGGCCCGGGTCCAGGCCCTGGAATGCATCCAGGAATGGGCATGGGCCCTGTTGGCCGACCACAGTGGACTCCGGGTAATCCAAATCATCCAATGGGCTATTCATCTTCGTCCCCCGGCAATTACCCACAAGGGCCTCCCGGTCCAGGTACTCCGTTAATGACAAGTCCACAAGATTCAAACTCTGGTGGTGAAAATATGTACACAATGATGAAGTCGGTGCCTGGTGGCAGTATGCCTGGTGAGTTTTCTATGGGTAATCCCGACTCTGCTGGCCCATTAGGTCCTATGGGACCAAACTCAATGGGCCCAGTGATGAATGGTGATGGGATTGAAGGAATTAAACGTTCGCCACCAGACGGACCGAGCACACCGAGAGATGACAGCGGAAGTGGCATGGGAGACTACAACTTAGGAGGATATGGTGGACCTGTGGATAATGATCAAAATGAATCTGCGGCAATATTGAAAATTAAAGAAAGCATGCAAGAGGAAGCTAAAAGGTTTGAAAAAGATTCTGACCATCCAGAGTACTACATACCGTAAGTTGCACATATTCAGCGACTTAGCTCCTCTGGTATTGAAAACAATTTCTTGCCAAAATGTATGTACATTTCAAATATTATTATTATTATTATTATTTATCAATTAAAGGTTTAAGATTACTTAATGTCATTATTGTAAATAGTTTCCAGCGTATCACAAAAAAACGCTATCAATTATATGTGCTTCTTGTATTTTGTTATTTCTTTTATAGTGTTTTAAAACATTTGTATGATTCATTTGCTGTGTAAGTTTTTATGAACTGAGTTTAGTTATAAAACTAGTTAAAACGGCATATTTTATAAATATCTGATTGAGTTATAGACAAATTAATAAAAACTCATTGCAAGTTATTCAATTACATTCATTTGTTTTCAACTAAAATTATGTTGTCCCCAAATAAATTTTAAAAACTTGATTTTAAAGTATTTTTTTTGAGGAAATAATTATTTATTATTTTATTGTAGTTATTATTATTAAAAATGTGTACTATAAGCTATTTAATATTTATTGAGAATATCCAATTCGACTCTTATTTTGGTAATTTTATTTCTATAAAAAAATCATTTTTGTGGTGTTTTATTGAAACACATAACTGATAATAATTTTGAATTATATGTTATTTTGTATTATGAAGTAGTAACGAAAATGTTAAGCCGTAGTAATTTTATAACTTGCACTGTATGTTTGAAACAACACTCGATACCATCGTTTTATGTTAATTGTATAAGGGAAATGGCCAGTGACAAAATATTTGTAATATTTATTCAATATTTATAGTTATATATTTTTTAAAAAAAAATTTGCTTAAATCGAGTATAAAATTACTCTTTTGAAATTACAATATAGTCGTGTAAGATAATAATATGCTTTAGCGTAGAATGCTAGATAGGTTGTAATTTCTTAAATGAGGAAAACAAATTTTTCGATTGAAGGCTACAAGGTAGGAGTGACCTTTGCAAACACATAATATGTGTTCAAGCTTTCCTGATATTTCAGTAGTCCATATAATTTTAAGTTGTGTTTGAATCGTGTGTAGGACAACTATTACGATATGATATTTAATCATCTTACTTCACATACTATTTCTTAAGTGTACAATGTTTTCTTTAATTGTACATTGCTAATTAACATTTTACAAATCATTGATTGTTTTTATCATTTTATATTACGTTTTACGAAAAGAACAATACTGTATAATAACATCATTTTTTTTTTTTTTTTTTTTAATATTATTTATGAAAAACTTATAATAATATGATTCTGATATTGTTTATAATGTGTATTTTGCAGTGTACCTATATTGTCTTGCACTTTAAGTCCATGATGTTTCTTCTTTAAATCTTTGTAAAACTAATAATAATTATTTATGTATGATAAAAATAAGTTTAAAATTAAGTATTCAATATGTATAGTATTTAAATATTAGTCTAGAAATGATTATTTATTGTATTGATAGAAAAATAAAATTATTGTTTGGCTCAATGTTCAAAAAAGGCTACTTAAAATTGGGCCCATAATTTTGAATTAATAAGTACAATCATATATGGCTTTGTTTATCAATTATGGTTGTAACTTTAATCTCCAAGTAATTTTATAAAATTTGATGTGCATTTTTAACTTTGTTACTTTTAATATGGATAAAATGTAAACGCATGTTTATAATATGTTCTTCCTAATCATTGTTCTCATTTCTTTCGAGCACTTATATTATTTATTGAACATTTCCAAGCATTTCTCGTGTTAATAATCGGATTTCATGTTTATTATTGAAACTATTTTTAATCAATAGTAATTTTTTGTACAATACAATATGTAGTTTAAATAATTCTAGATCGATATTATTTGAATATTGCGAGACGATAATTCTGATAAATTGAATGATCTAAATTTATTCTTGTAATACATTATCGGTGTGTACATATAGGCTGTGGACTAAATTAAAAATTAGACAATTATTTCAAAAGCAATCTCTACTTATTGTTAGTCGTACAATACCTATTTACATTTTAAGGTAGCCTAGATGGATATAATATAGTTTTAGAATTATTGCAGGACGATACAAATAAATAAATAAAAAAACCCTTTCATTTTTACACCTTGAACAATCTCTAGTCTTAATATGCCTTTATCTTCTTAAAATAATATTATATAAACAATATTAATAATAAATATATTATTGTACATTAAGTCAATTAAGTAGAAAAATCCCGTATTATAGTTTCAATGGAAAGAAAAAAATACTGTTCGTAGTTGACTTATAGATCCTATTATTTCCTTATTATTATTATTATTGAATTAATTCTTATAAATATGATAATATATTATAGTTTACATTTAATTGGTGTTTTATTTATAAATAAATTGAACTGTCTAAATAAAAAAAAAATGAATTAAAATATAATATTTGTTTGGAGTTTGTTTCATTAGAATATTGTAAATTAATAAATTGTTGTTTACGGTATAGACAAATACAGAGTACATATTATGTCTAAATATTAGTGTAAAACAATGTGGATTAGTGATTTCTAATGGATAAATACGATGTATGGTTTGCCCTTATGCCCTATTATGGATCATTTACAATAATATGTAGTCTATATCTATACACTTAATCTAAATGATAACTAGGCATCATACCAGCAGAATGTAAACAATTGATTATAAATATAAATTTAAAATATGGATGTGAAACCTTTTAAAAAGTAAAAAACATTTTCTAATTGTTATTGACTTATTCAATTTTGTCATAATGAGTGGTTTAAAACAAATTTTCAACAAGAAAATCAACAATGTATTTGGAATGATACACGTTAAACCTTTACCAGGTAAAATCGAACGACTTATTTTTAATTATTTAATTAATAATAAATTTAATTATTGTTATAAAAACAGGCACTCCTCGGTTCAATGGAAATGTAAAAGAAATAATTGATTCCGCTTGTAAAGAGGCTGAAATTTATACAAATTGTGGAATAGTTAGTGACTTTTTGATAATTAACAATACAATGACTATTGAGTTACTATCAGCATTTAATAATAGTATACAATACAGTGTCCAACTAATTATTATACATTCATATTTATAGGATGGTGTCATTGTAGAAAATATGCACGATATACCTTATGTATTAGCCGACAAAATAGGCCCAGAAATAGTGTCTATGATGACTAGAATTTGTACGTCAGTGCGACAAATAGTGCCCGAAAACATACCTTGTGGTCTACAAGTTAGTAGTAAATTACAAAAGCCAATCGCTGTCGTTTAAATCATAAATTATTATAGATATTGGCTGCAGCAAACAATGAAGCAATCGCTGTGGCTCAAGCGGCAAAATTTCAATTTATAAGAGCCGAGGGCTTTGTTTTTGGCCACGTTGCCGACGAAGGATACATTGATGCTTGTGCTGGAAAACTGTTAAGATATCGTAAAGTAATAGGCGCTGAAAATATTTGTATTTTTACAGATATCAAAAAAAAACATAGGTAAATCTCAACATCGTTAAAATATCTGTTTTACAAAGACTACCAAAACATATTACATCTGATCTCCGTTTCATATAAGTTGAATATTATTAATATGTTATCTAAAAAAAAAACAAAAGTTGTACTCTAACATATAACCGATTTTTTTTAGTTCACACGCGATTACCCAAGACGTAAATCTTATTGAAACTGCCAAAGCAGCAACATTTTTTTTGAGCGATGGAATTATTGTAACTGGAACGGCTACGGGTCACCCAGCTGAACCGCAAGATGTCCAAGGCAAGACGATATTTGATTTCAAAGCCTCATAAATAGTAGTTAACTAGTTTAACTAAAGCAAAGTACAAATTGTTTTAAGGTTAGATGTAAAACGATCAGTTGGAGTTCCAGTTTTAGTTGGATCTGGTGTAACTGTCAACAACGTACACGAGTACAATGGTTCCGATGGATTTATTATTGGGTCTCATTTTAAAAAAAATGGAAAGTACGTTAATGTAAAACAATCTTATTTATTTTATTTCAATAATCAATACCATTTTGCAAGTTATTATTTTTGTTTTAAATTTCAGCTGGCAAAATGAACTCGATGAAATAGCAATAAAGACATTCATGGAAAAAATTTCAAATGATAACTAAAATCTATTAAAACGTATGTTATGGTACCGAAGCAATTACATTTTGTTATTAAAGATGTTTAAAAAAAATATAATCAACTAATTGTATATTGTATTAAAAATAAAAATAATAATAATCATAATCAAAAGTATTGTTATCTTGTATACAAACATAAAAGTGATAATAAAAGTAATTGAATATGCATACAGTTAAGTTTTAAGTTTAGGAAACAAAACCACAATCAAGTATAATTCAATTGTTAGAACGTAGATAAACTAAGAGATGAATAAATCAAATGAGATCTCGGATGGATGGAAAACAAATTAATACATTATTACATATTATAAAAATCAGACATTTAAAACATTTTGATTAAGTTGTCTTTAAACAGAGTTCCTTCCGACTAACTTTTTTAAAGTTGATCCAAAACTGAATACTAGATTCCTCGCCGAAGCCATGTACGACACATTGTGATTAGTTCTTGCGACTGTTGTATCCTAAACATATAATTTTAATGAAAGTTTTTTTAATGTTCATACACAATTAATACAACAGTTAAAAATCTAAGTTACTAAAAAAAAAAAATGAAATTAAAAAGCATAACCATCTTCTACCTTAATACTATTAGTTGATTTGACTTTTTTCGACGGACTCGAATAACAATTTTCATCAGTTTTGGTGATTTCCGCAATTTCTTTTTTTCTTTTGACTAATTTCAAAGGTCCACATCTCTTTACTGGCATTAAAGAGTTGGCTTTGCACTGAAATGTAATATTATAAATAATAATTAAAAAAATTACACAGTTTGTACCGTATTTTACAAATAGATTCGTTTTTCAATATTGTATTTAATTTATTCAATGTTAAACTCACATTATCAATAGCTTGCTGCAACATTTCTACCCAAGAACATGTCGAGTGAGGAGCATCCATTGTGTAAAATACCAATTCTATCGATTGGCAACTAATCGAAAATAATCCTCTTTTATACATTATAGACTTGGCCACGCAATTGTTCAGAGGTAACACTCGAAGACAGTTTAATTTTTCCGGGTCTACCCATTCTTTACAATATAATACCATGTCGCTAAGTAGTATCAAATAACGAGGCATCGACGTACTCCCGTCTGGTGAAACTTTCATTAGAGGACCTTCCTTAATAAGTTTACGCCCCGGAAGCACTATGTTTACTTTTCCACATCCCGACAGACTTCGTTGAATGCTCACTAGGCGTGACATATTTTCTTGTTCTTGAACCAAGTTGTTTATGTGATCGGCTACTTTACTTATTTGATCAAGAGCAGCTGAAAAATGTTTAAACATAGAAAGTCAACAATATTTTATACTGATTAAATACAACTTTTTGTTTTTAACAAACATATAAGTGTTTTAAAAGTTTTACCATGGTAATAATACATAATTATGTCTTTACCTTTAATCTCATTATAACTTTTGTGATCTTCTGGAGTATAATTCAATAGTTCACGCAAAAGTAACAAATAACGAGGAATTCTCTGAATTGGAGTTATTAATAACGAATTTAATTTGGCTGAAACATCGGGTCTTGTTTCTTGGGCACATATAAAACGATGCAGTTTTGGATGCGATTTTGGCAATTCCTAAAATGCATTTTATTATTATTAGGTAAATAATTAACTGTACATAATGTTGCCCAAGATCTAATTAATATAAGGCTCATTTTTTTCATAGCTTAATTCTATAATTTAATTTTACTAGAACTTTACTTTTTATATTTGAATATACACAACAAGAACAATGAAATAAAAATAACTCGCTACAAATAATGATTAATCAATAACTTTTGAGTTAAAATTATCGATCAAAAACAATTCTGATAAAAAAAAAAGCCTTACTTTAGTTTTACAACAAGCAAACAGCAACATGTACTTACTTGAAGGGTTTCTATAACATTTTTGTAGTTAAATGCATAAACAGAATAAAGTTTAAGAAACGGAGCTGTACTTAAAAACACCTCACCAACGTTTTCCTTTGCAGGATGCAACTGAACTAATAGCTCTTTGTTGACATTCAAAATGGTTTCAACGTTACCGAACAATTTACTTAAAATTTGATTTGATGCTAATTTTTGTTCTTCCATAGGTCTTTTGAAAAACTGCAAAACATTACATGTTGGTATAGTAAACTTTAAATTATAATTCACTTAAATGTCCACATAGCGTGAAATAATTATTGCTAAACGACTACATGTACGTAACAGTTGTTGGCGACACAGTTTTTGGGTGGACTTTGAGATTTCCTACCAATTAATGGGGCACTCGACAATAATGGTGATGAAGGTGCTTAAGTATAGATGGGGCTTTAGAAATACAGTATGTTAAGTATCCCGTTTCACAGAGATCATTGCAAAAATTAACTCACAGCGATTAGTTTATCCAACTGATGAATGTAGCTCGATTCGGACACACATATTTCCTGAATAGCTCTAGTTCTCAGTTTGGCTATACGTTTCTCATTATCATCGCAAATATGGTTATCTAAGTCTCGCAAGACTGCACAACAAACACAAGTTTATTATACGGAATTGGTTTCGGAAGTCGTTAATTAGCTGATATTACCTTTTTGTTTAGTTTTTGCCGTCAAGATATTTTGTTGATCCAAAACAACACGAAGTTCTTTGACAAAACTGTTTGGCGGTGTCATCGGAACAAACGAGTCTTTTTCCATTTCGACCGTGTAAATCGAGTGTGGATAAAAAAAAAACAATTTTTAAAAACCTAACACTACCTGAATTGTTGTTTTCCCCGCGTCTATACTTGCTACATTAGTAGATACTAGATAATATACTGAAAATAGTATGCTGAAATGTTTCACAATTTTACAGAAATCAAAATTCAGAATTTAAATAGTAAAAAAAAACGTTTAATGGTTAATACCCAAGTCGGCGTGTCCCAAGTGATTTTTATTTTATTTCAGAAAAATAAAACAACAAAAAAATACGTTACGCGGTGTTGACACTCGACAGTGCAGCCATTTGAACGATATAAATGGGATACCGGGCTGCCGGTCGACGGCCGTTTACCTACACTGGTGGTCAACTGTGAACTGTGTTCAAAACACAGATTATGTCCGGTTCACAATAATTATTGTCCCCTCTCGGTCTCTCGATCGTTCCGACCATCTGACCTTGCGCATAATAATACGAACAACTGTTTAGAGAAGTGTGTTTTTAAAAATAACCGTCAAATATAAATATTTAGTATAATTCTGCACGTTTTCCACTTAAATAGTTTATATTTTATATATTAGATTGATCGTTTTGAGTTTTCAAATAATACACTCTTCTCCGTATACGGTTGTGCTGCCAAAATTCACAGTAAGATATTTTGTCAAAGCTAAAATAACAAAACTGTCAATTAACAATGAAACACGACTGCGGGGGTGTGTCTATAATAAACAAATCACCTTTTTTTTAATTTTCCATGTAGTCATGAGTTTTGCACTCAAGTCAAAAGACAGCAGACAGCAAAAACCTACGACCGCCACATCTTCGCTTCCGCGTCGCTCCGTGGGCTTAGGTAACAACATGGCATCGTCGGGCACATCTACTATTCAAAAACCTATTTCGAAGCTGCGACGGTCAGTTGCAACATCGTCCACTATCAATAAAACTCCGGATTTGCTACACGCTCCAAAATTTGGTGGTCAACAGATGGCTAACCGTAAACCAGATCTCACAAAAAATTTACCTGGAAAGACTTTGGAAAAGGCACCGAAACAGACTCAGCAAAAACCAAAGTAAGTTTTATTTTCATATACACAGCGTTGTTTTTGTATTATGTACATAAATTATTTATTTGATATATATATTTTTCCTTGTAGATCTCCTACTAAAGATACATTTAAAATTCCGACTTCTGCTAATATACCAAAAAAGACAACTTCAAAACCATCTACAACTGTCAATCAATTACAAGATAATTTAAAAGCGGCAAGCCTTAATGAGAAACCCAGCGAGACCGCCGAAGATATAGATAAAGAAAACAACAAGAACATGGGCCTTTCTACTAAAAAAGAAGAGTTAGTTTGTCATTTAATACCATACCTGGGCATTATTTTAATAAAACCCCATTTAATAAATCAAATTGTATTTTTATTTAAAGAAATAGGTATCAAGAACATAAAAACAATTATTTAAATTGAAATAAAAATAATAACTCAAAAAATTATTTCAATATAAGTCGAAGTAATTAAAAAAACAACAGGTTATTTAAAACAGCAAAATTACATTTTTATTGCATTTGAATAAAATATATTTGTAAACATAAATATAATATTCCTTAAAAATTTTTTTTTTCGTTTCTTATTTCAAATAACTTATTGTTTCAAAATGATCAATTTTTATTTATATACAAAAAAGTCCAAGTTTGATAAGTACATGCGTTTTCTCATTGAAATTAGATATTTTTTAAGTGAATTTTTTTTTTAGGATGAAATGGTCGTTGGACAATTTTGATATCGGAAAAGCATTAGGAAAAGGTAAATTTGGTAATGTATATTTAGCTAGAGAGAAAAGTTCAGGGTTTATTGTCGCGCTCAAAGTACTATTCAAAACACAAATTCTCAAAGCAAAAGTCGAACACCAGCTCAAAAGAGAAATCGAAATTCAAACTCATCTCAGGTGTGTATTTCTAAAAAAAATATATCTGTTTTTCTTTTTCCTAACTATAGTGTTTATTTTACAGACATCCAAATATTGTACGTATGTTTGGTTATTTCCACGATGATGTTAGGGTGTATATGATTCTAGAATATGCACCTAAACAGTTGTACAAAGAATTACAAGCTCAAGAAAATAAACGTTTTTCTGAAGAAAAGTATGTGTTTGCTATGTTTTTAAGATTTTGCATTATGTACAATTTTGTATGTTAATTGGATAATATGTTTTAATTATTAGGGCGGCTGTTTTTATCAAACAATTAACCGAGGCGTTGATTTACTGTCATAATAAAAACATCATACATCGTGATATTAAACCAGAAAACTTGTTATTATCTCGAACTGGTGAATTGAAAATAGCCGATTTCGGATGGTCCGTCCATACACTCGACTCCAAGTAAGTTTGATACATACTCAACTTTTTAATTTTCATGACTACCAACTTGGACTTATTTTCCCAACCCGTATTAATTTTTTTAATATAATAAAAGTATTTAAAAAAAAAAATTTTTCTTCTTGGAAATTTTGATCCCTAATTATACTAAAAACTCTTTTTATTTAAAACTGTCGCCAAATAAAACTAATATAATTTTGAATATTATAAATAAGTTTTTTTTTTTTAACAGACGTATGACATTGTGTGGTACTTTGGACTATTTACCTCCAGAAATGGTGAGTGGGAGTACTCACGATAAGTCTGTTGACGTATGGAGCGTGGGTGTGCTGTTATACGAATTCTTGGTCGGTAAACCACCATTCGAAGCGCCTACCTATGAGGAAACTTACAACAGAATATTGAATGCACAGTACATATTTCCACAACACGTGGCTCCGCTCGCTCGTGATCTAATTTCCAAAGTAAGTACTACTAAAACCGATTTATCGAATCATAAGTAAAACTTTTTTTCTTTTTTTTTTTTTTCCAGTTGTTAAAAGTAGTTCCGGAAAGACGTTTATCGCTACAAAACCTATTAGGCCACGATTGGATAAAAATACACACTCAGTCTTCTGCAAAATAACAAATTATGTATAAAAACATAATTTTGGATCTGAGTTGTAAAAATAATTTTTATTATACTAACTATTTTCGTTAAACACACACAATTAGACTTATTTTGTAAATTGAACTTTTTTTTTTTTTTGTTAAATTAATCATTTCACTTGTAATTACTGATTTTGTCACCTTTTTGGTAGACTTTAATGATAATTTTATATTATATATGTATTTATTGTAAGTGGTTACTTTTGTATTGCAACTTTTTTTTTTTAAACGCTTGCCAATTAACATTTATTGTGTTTAAAAATGATTAATTTAGAATACCGCTATATTTTTTTAAACTAAATAAGAGTTATAGTTAACTGTTTGCATCTAATGAAAACTATTATTAATATGGCTTTTACTATAATTATGGAACAATATATTGGCTATATAAGTGTAAAAAAAAAATATATATATATATTTATATATTGAACACTTTATTTTATAACACACATTAATATACGTAAGTAACCATTCTAGTGAACTATTCAAATGTTCTATTAATGTTTAACCATAATTTGACATTTAAAGAAAATCGCTTATAATTTGTATTTCTGTAAATAGCTATTAAATTAAGCCGCAAACTGTGATGTACTCTTTTTTTATATATACTATTGATTAACAGTTATAATAATATATATTATTATCTATATACACTATTATAATAATAGCATATATGAATGCAATACTTTTCGTGTACTGTACCCATGAATTATTATATTTTAAATAAAAAATAAAGTTTGAAGAAAAAAAACAAATTAAAAAAAATGTCTTTTAGAATGTATTGTTTATAGAAATGCAGTTAAACAATTATTATTATTTAATATTACATTTTTATTACAGCCATTCCAGTGAAATATCAATTCTCATGCGTGTTCCGTTAATATTCTTTTTGTCGACTTACGTTTATGCTTTTGGGAAAAAGTTAATCTGAAAGAAGAAATCACATTTATTATTCCCACTGTGGTGTTTGGTACGTTCAATATTATACGACAGTTATCTAGAATTTAAGCTCACTTCAGTATCTCAAAAATTTATCATTGGTCTAGAGAGTACTGAACTTGATATGAGCTTAAAATAAAAAAAAACAATTATTTGTTATTTAAATTGTTTCTCGAAAAGAATCGAGGATGATTAATATTGTAAATAAAACCTCAGAATACTCGCAATGGTTTAAAAGTAGTTTTTAATATTAAAAAAAAAAAATTGTATAGGCGATTCAAATTAAGAGTTGCCGCCAAAATAATTTACAAAATGGCGGCTCAAAAAAGTACTCCGTACATTATTTACTAACGTATTTCGGTATTTTAAACTTAAAAACTATTAAATATAATGAATTTAGATAAACAATCAAATACTTATTGTTTTTAAGTTTAAAAGACCGAAGTACGTGTATAAATAATATACAGAGTACTTTTTCGAGCCGCCATTTTGTAAATTATTTTGGCGGCAACTCTTAATTATTCGGATCGCCTTTACTTGATAATTTTGTGATCAAAAATTTAATATTTAAAAAACGATTAAATATTTTACGGGCAACGAAATGTATGATATTAAATTTCTGACCAACAAATATACCTTTTGAAAAATGTTTCGCCATCAAAAGTATACATTTTTTTTTATTGTTATCATTTTACCTTTTCTCCGTTTTTAACGAAGCAGTTTCTGATTACACGTCCCGCCGCACATTTTTCGGTCGTCTTCGGATCGATAACGGCTGAAAACAACAGTACACATTACACACATTTGCCAGTGGCCGAACAGCGCTGCACTCTCAACAGCAGCGTTCGTCGCACATTACCTTCCTTCTCGCACGTTTCAATAATCGCCACCGCCTTCTTGAACTCTTCCGGTTGATTGGCGAACCTTATCTGCGCCAACGCCTTGCCGTCGACCACGCTGAACTTGTTGTTCTTCACCAGGTTCAAGTTTTTGTACAAGCATTCCAGATAGCACCGCTGTTGTTCGTTTTGCGGCAACACGGTGTTGCTGACCAAAGCCATGATCTCCTGGGGCGCTCGCAGCTCGTCCTTGCACTTGACCGCGATGCTGTTGAGTTTTTGTTTCAGGGCCACGTGTCCGTCGGTCGTCTGGGTGGGTGTACGAAAGATAAATTTTAAAAAATGAACGTTTTAACGGTGTGATTTCGTCAAAGGCCCCGGGGCCCGGTTTACTTTGGGTTTTGCCGTGGTAGCGCCGGACGCGGCCGTCTTCTTGGGGGTGGGCTCGGTGCCGTTGACTTTCTTGGTGGCGGTGCCGGTGGCGGTGCTACCGCCGTTGACGGCCGTGGCTGCTTTTGCAGTCGAACCGTGCACATGGTCTTTGGCATAGGCCGTCGTCTGACTTGTAGACGACACCGGCAAACGCGTGGTGGCCGTTTGGGGTTTGGTGACGCCCGTGTAACAGGTGGATATGTTACACGGGTCCGAGCTCTGAAAAAAATCACACGAGCATTTCTCAAAAAACCAATGTGCGGTCCTTACAAAGGAAAACAAAAAAAAAAGTCGCAGCTGCAAGTTCAAGTAGCCGGAACTGATGGCAACTATTAGAGAAACGAGAAGTCCGATAGTGAACAGCGACAACGACGATTCATGTCTATTTTTTATATATATATATATATATTTTTTTTTTTTTTTATCGTGTATCTTGACGAATTCTTTTCCGGGGACGGGTCGTCACAGTCCGTCGCCGGAGAGGGGGATATAGAGGGGTAAATAACCGCTAAGTACTAAAAAAATATAATACAAGTACCGCCTATATAGGTTGTTCTAACGAATTCAAATAATATAAGTATTCTACAATAACGAAAGACCCGTATCGACTACTCGGTAAAAACAAAACAATATTTAATTGACGTATACCTACTTGCCGAAAAAAAAAAATATATATATATATACTAGGGTGTACCGAAAATTTTTTTTTTTTTTGTTCTTCTCTTGACATAATGTTCCTTGGGGTAAAATAATATTTCCCTATTTTTTCAGATTTTTAAAATTATTTTTAGAGGTTGCGAGCATCAGCTCTAAAAAAAAAAAATTTTTTTTTAGTTTTTAATTTTTTTAAGGTGTAAATATCAATTTTAAACAAATGTTGCTTGTATACAAAATCATCATTAGAAAAAGAGGAATACACCAGTATTTTTTTTTTTTTTTACTAAAAAAACTACTATCCAACTAATTTAGGCCCTGGAATGTAAAATTTGCGAAAACATTGATATATATACCCTTAATAGTACCCTAAAATATTTTTAATTTATTCCTCATTTAGTTGCAAAGAATTCCGATATACTTACATAACACATTATTCTAACAATAGATCAGAAAAAAATTAATTAAAAAAAAAAACATAAAACAAGTTTTGAATACTGTTACTTAACAAATATATTTTTTTTTAGTTCATAGTTTTTACAAGTAATTAACAAAAAACAATATTATTTTATAAAATCTTTATATAGAAATACATAAATTGTATATACAAACACATAATACATTATTCTAACAATAGATCAGAAAAAAAATTATTTAAAAAAAAATAAAAACAAGATTTCATAATGCACTTCTTTTGGCATAATTTTACATCCTAAGGCCTAAATTAGTTGGATAGTAGTTTTTTTTTTTGTATTGATTTTTAGCATTGATAGGCGATTTAATAAACAAATTGGCTTAAGTTTACTTTTAAAGAAAATCCGATACCAAATATTTTGGATTCAGCGAAAATAATACACCTGAATTTAATTTAAACACCTATTATTTCATTGGAAGTGTATGCAATTTTTTCAACTATTTCTCTTTAAATTGTATCCTAGCGATAGCAAATAAACACTCAATATTTTAACAAAACAAAAACGTTGTATACAAATAATAGAATTTAATAATGTCTCGGGTAATCGCGAAATATTGTTTTTTTTTTTACTTTAATAAAACACAAAAATATAAAAATTTTGGGGGCTTGAACACCCCTTGGGTTTTTTTCCCCCCGGGTACTAATCAAAAGGGTTGTGTAATTTACCACCCCCGCGCTCAAATATATTTGACAACAAATAATTTTTGAAAAAATTTTAATGAAAACTTACCTGTACGGCGACCAGAGCGACCAAAACGGCTGCTGTGGAAGCAAAAACTTTCATTTTGATTACTTGAACGGTATGTAGACGGGTTACACGGACACTTGATAATAAAGCAATAATGACTGTTCCGCCAGCACCGGGTCCTTTTATAGCCTACCTTTGTCACGGTATTATGATTATGACCTCTAAGCAATGGAACACCCAAACCAAATTGAAGCAAGGACATCTTCCCCTTTAAACACAATTGACGTCCTGTTTGCGTGCATGTGAAAATTGAACTTAAATTGGCACTATTCGTCGAGCCGTTATAGTGTAAGTGTGCCTAATTCAATTGGGAAACAAATTAAGTATACTATCAATATGCTTTATTATGCTGTACCGGCTGTGCATATGCAAAAAGGCACGTCTATTAAGACCCTCCGAGCCGACAATGTCCTTAAAAAAAAAAAAAAAACACAGTCTCTTAAATATTGTCCTTAATCGCTGTAAGACTTTTAAACAATTCTATAGACCGGAATGGCTGCATAATATTCTCTGACGTACTTACTAGGCTCTACAGATTCAGTAGGGTCTAAGCTGTTCGAATATATATATATGCTTAAATCGAAAACAAATCCAGAGCTGAACGTTTACAGATTATACAATTTTTAATATCTTACCAGTTAGATTTCTATATGTAAAACAAATTTGCCCAATTAAATGCATCGAAACAACATATTGTAGAAAAGCAGGAAATTAATCATAGAGCATATTATGGTACATTTTGGACAAAAGTTCATTTAGAATACTTAGCCCTAAGTAATTGCTAAGTATTTACTAAGTATTTGCTTGTAACTTGCAAGTCCGACCTTACCATCGTGTCGAGTGACCAAACACATGTTCATAAACAAAAATTGTTTTTACCTAGTTATTCGTTTTGGGTAATATTGTAACATTATAAAATACAATTATCTTAGTTCGTGCAGTAATCAAAATTATATTGATTGTAGATTAAATCTAAGAAAACCCAAATAAAGTTTGGGATGTCTACTATGTGCGTATAATGTGCCATATTTCCAAATTGTTCACTTATCATTTTTTATATTAAATAAGAATTTTAACTTTTTTTTTTTTTTTAAGTTTATAGAACAAATGTCAAGAAAGTTATCGAATGAAAAAGTTCTAATCTTCCATTTGACACTATAATAATTATTATTGAACCGCTTATTTCAGAAACCCCTCAAGTCCACTAATTCACTTTTTGTATATATATAATTGATTAGAACATCCAAAAACGAAACATATTGGATTCAAAGCGGTAAAATAACAGGTTTTTAAAGTAATCATTAGATTCAAATTATGCGAATCGTTTTATTTTTTATATTTGCTGCTCACACATACTAGTTAAAAAATGAATAATAAAAAAACCAAATTGTTGTTTGAAAGCATTTTTGAACCAGCTAGAACAGATGGCCCAAATGCAGATTATGGATTGTCAGAACCACATTTAAAACGCCTGAAAGAATTGAAAAGAAAAAAGTATATTTTTAGACACTTAATTCAAGCTGATGCCAAAAAAAAAATTATAATTTGAAATCAGAGAACAAAGTAATAGTGAAATGTGGTACAAAGAACGAAGAATACCGACGTTTAACTACTTCTAAATAGTATAAAGACAGATTTCTAAGATGCAATCCAACACTAGTTGCAAAAATGTAGTATATAATATGTTATACACAATGGACGTTCAGTTCAAGGTAAATCATTAATGTATGGTAAAGTTGGCTAAAAAGTTGAACTTTTGTTGAACGAATCTAATGAATAGTGTTATTTGTTCTTAGCAGATAGATGACTTTTTACCAGGAGTAAAAAAGTAATATAGTATAAAAAAATAATGCCAATTCAGAATTCTATTTTGTATTAAAAAAATAAAATAAATGTATTTACTATTATTTATTTTAGCTTTGATGCGGTACTGAGAAGGTATTGTGTGAATACAATAATGATACATTTTTTTTTTTATGTGGATCTATAATATATTTTAAACCGCTGAACCGAATTCTTCATTTACCAATAGTCCATCAAAATCAAAAACCGTAGCTTGATCTGGAAGCCGAAGGTGGATCTAGGATGGGGCTATAACATACAATTTGCTTAAAGATCTGTAGTTAAATTTTTTTCTATTAGGAGAAAACTAAAAATGAAAAAAAAAGGGAAAATTTACACTTTCTACAAATAAAACAAAAATCATGTTCAGCGAGCTACCTGCTACACATTATAATTAATACTTAGTTGTAATTTTTTTTCATTTAGATTGTAACAGTATGGCAATATTTGACTAATAAGTTTGCCATTATTGATTATATACATAGTTTTATCATTTTTATTGTTTAATTATGATGGCATTGAATGCGGCGAGTTTAAATTATTCAAGTCTTATTATTATCAATAGACGAGAAGTCGAAACAAAACCTAACCACACAAGGTTAAATATTATATTATATACCTATAATACCTATGTACCAGTTAATTATGAGTAAAACTAAAAATATACTAATGATTTTTTATAAGTTTTCTGCGTTGCGTTCAAGTATAGATAAAAATGTAAATAAAATACATTTATTTCTTTTATTAAAAATGTTCTATGTTTTTTTTTCTGTTTTTATAACTTTAATAATAATAATTTATGTTTTTAAATTTGTTTTATGTATTAAATTTGAAAAATGCAAATTATACTCAACTTTTAACGGATAATGATTTTTTTTTAATATTCCTTATCTATTTTAATTACAACGCATACGATTCAGCCATGGCCTATGTCCTAGCAATCAAGTCTGTAGGTATAATGTGTACTTACCTCTATACGACTCCAATGACCATCAATTTTTATATTTTTGAACATTAAGCAAAATTACTAATCAAATAGTTCACTATGTTAATATTACTGCGGCGAGTAGTTAAATTATGCATTTTTTTAAAGACTTTATAGTGTCTTTAGGTTTTTACACTTTTTTCTGTGAATTAGCGCCCCTGAAGACATCAGCTACGTCCATGACGTTGTATACATTATTTATTTATATTATTCCCATCTACAGTACTTTTACATACATCAGTCATAACACAAAAATATCAGACGGTTAAAACTTAAATTGTTATATTAGCTGAATAAATCAACTGAACTCGTGTGCCAGTCGGCAGTCCCCTCAATGAATCTTCAATCAAGCTATTTAAGAAAAATGTCATTTTATATTCACACAGATTGTATATAATAAAAAATATTAGCACACAAACGAAAGTTTGTACACATGAAAAGTCAATGAATTTCATAACATAGAAAATATTTAATACTTAATTAGGTCAATTTGAGTTGCTTATAAGTGTCACAGGAGTAAGAACTTGGTCACTTGTAGTATACTTGTCTATGCAAGTATCAACGAACAAAGTCGATATGTACATACAATTTATTAAGTAAGTTATACAAATTGAAAAAGTCACCGCCTTTTAGTTCACCTATTAATAGCATTATATTAAAAATTACTCAATGTCTGGGAAAATAAAATTGAAATTTGTATTTTAAAATTATTTTATAGTATACAACGTCAAGTATCGACCAATATACTGGTTACATAATATGTGTAGGGTTGCCAACCATCCTTCTTTGGGCAGGACAATCCTAAATTTGTATGATATTTTGTCCTACGTTTCAATAAATAAACCTTAAGTCAGATATGTCCTTATAAGTTATAATATTATTATTATTTTTTAATTTTATCAATTATTCAGCTTAATCACTTGTATCAGATTTGTTATTTTTTTTTATAGACCGCTAATTCTGCATATATGTAGGTATATAAGTACATTTAAAATATTTTAATTAGAGTGGCAAACATTTAATATTGTTATACATTTATAATACTGTCGATTCTTATAATAATTATTTGTCGTGTCAGTGTTGTTTATAAATATTTAAATATATATATTTACTGTTCATTTACATGATATATAATAGTCGAAGTTTAATAATTGTCCAAGTCAAAAGTATAAATAAGATTCAACAAAGGTGATATAAATTACCAAAGGTGGTATGAGATTATATTTTTTTTAAAGTATATAATATATTCTGTTCTGTTGGTTCAAGGCCGGATTTGTTATTTGGATCCAGCCCCCCCATAATCCCAGAAATAAGTTTTTTAATTAAGTATACCTACTCATTAAAAAGAATAATATTATAACTCAACGACTTTGCAACTTTAAGTGTCTCAGTCACCAAGAAAACTGAAAAATATTTAATAAAATTATCTATTTTCTAAAAATTTTGGGAAGGCCCCTTTGGAAATGAAAAATATTTGGAAGTTGGCAACCCTAATTATATGTGTGTAGTACCATAATATCATGTACCTATTAACAATTTTTTAGTTTTGACACCTCTGAATTAGAACTCTGTGTGAACTTGGGGACAAAAAAAAATAATTATAATATATTTATGATTTATTATAATAATTTCACGGTAAATAAAATTATTACTAACGTTTTGCCCGAACGACGCAATTATTTTACCGTCTTCGTCCGGTTCAAACCCACAAACGTCATACAATATATATATATATATATAGGTACAAAAATCGACTGGTTACTAGATATTTTTTTTTCAAATAAAGTATTATTAGACATTCTGACGTGGACACTGCGTACATAGACGTAGAATATTTGTATATAATATGATTTAACGAATTTTGTTTTCATCATTTAAACCGATGATTTAAGGCGGGTACATGCATTTATACATATAGTCGATGTACACAAACTATATATATGTAATAATATTATATTATGGTAAACAACGCGCCAAACGAGTTTCAGTTTGAGCGCGTCCGACACTACCAATAATAACAATAATTATAACCGCCTACTTAATGCAGGAAGACAAATCAAACAATTTCTTGTATACCTCTAATAAACTGGGCAGAATTACCTATCTGTGTTCGCATGTAACGTCGTGTATGTGTTTTCCAGATGGCCCCACCACTCAAAACGTCTATTATGCACGACCAGACCTTGACCATAATAATTTAATGTCCATTGATATTATAATATTTTATATACATTGAAAATACTTCGGTTATTGTTTATGAATATTCACGCTATAATATAGTGTTGTATTACAGTTAGTGTTAGTGTTACAGTTATCACAATCGGCAACAGGTTTTTACTGCAAGACCGGTACAAAGGTTAGTATACATTGTACATTACCACCGCACATAAGAAATTAATTATAATGTTAAACAAATCAAATTTTATTTCTAGAACTGACGGTTGATGACTATCCAGAATAATTATGACTGTAATTCCCAATAATGTTGTGATGCTGTGAAACAATTGAGAAAAAAAAAATCGTGACCAGATAGCAATTTGCCAATTTATAGCTGTTAGTAAATCTTATATATGTATACACATTTTTTTTTTTTGAACGGATCATGACTAACGACATGACGTAAGGTTGGCGTGGTCAATTAATGTTTGTGATTGAGAAAACTTTCATTGGTTTTCCCGCTCACAGATTATCCGTTTGAGATAAGTTTTGCACATTTCGAACAAACATTAGACCATTAAACCGAGTGCACGTTCGAGTAGGTAAAATATAAATACAACTCGTCGTTACAGATGAAGATCGGAATAGTAATTTTAAGTTCATTCGTGAACGTCCTCCTGGCCGCTGCCAACAACACCAATGTTGTATTTCTAAATCACACTGAAACATGGACTCAACCGCAGCAGGCGACAAAAAAAACGACGCCGATCAACGTGGACACCAATACCAAAGAGGTAGATGGTGGCAACGAACAGCCGTTGAAATTTAACAATAAAAACTCAGTCAAGGTATTACATGCTTTTACAGATGTTAAAACTCGGGTTGTTGGACGGCACGTTGAAAATTGACAAATGCATCTATAGTCAAAATTCGCTTGACCCCAATTTTGATCATAACGTCATCATATCGCCCATAAGTATTGCCGCTGCGACGTCGCTGCTTTTATTGGCGGCTGCCGGCGACACTAAGACGGAACTCGGCATACTGTTCGGTATCGACGGTAATACATTTGTAAACAGTATTGAAAAGTAAGTATCTAGAAAACACTATACAAATAGAATAAGCAGATACGACATTGAATGGATAATTTTGTTCTAGAAACGAAAATCTATTCAGGATGCTGGGATTACTTCTGGACAAGTTTCAAGCGAATGCTAGCAATGCTTTAGGTACCACACAAGTAAACCTCGCAAAAGCAATATTTGTTCAAGAGGGTTATAACATAACGAGCAATTATAAAACCGTGGTTAAAGAATTATTAAAAAGTGAATTGATCACTGTCGATTTCATGAACAACGGTTACATCACTCAACAAAAAATTAATCAGTAAGTCATTTGTTTTCCGGTCACAACATTTATATATCAAATAAAAAAATATTTGTATTAGTAACCATTATTTAATACCTAAGTATAGTTATTATTATAATTGCAAGTTATTAAAGTATAACTCTATATACTAAAAATCATTTCTTCATTTAAGAATTAAAAGTAGGTTGCATTTTGGAAGTTTAACATACTTTTTATTAACCGAGTTTAGTTTTTAAATTTGACTTATCTAACATATAATTATTGTACCATTATTAACTGTGTTTAAAACAATTGGTCGCTTAAATTTCCATTAGCTCATTACTTTAATTTCTTTAACCTAATTCTCTAAAACACTATAATTAAATGAGAATTTGTATTTAAAATACTATTTAAGTGTCTTGTCGTGAAGTCATTATTGTTAAGAAGTGAACATTAGCGAGTAAAAAAAGAAACCGACATTGGTAACGAATGCTCCGAGTAACAAAATAAAGAAAAAAAATTATAGTTAGTTATAATTGTAGTTGATAGTTAATACAATTTGCTAAAATGATGTATGATTTTATTACAGTTGGGTTTCTAGTCAAACTCGTGGAAAAATCAACGATATTATGCCGGGTGCACCGACACCCGACACCAAGACAGTTATTGTGAGCGCCTTATATTTTAGCGGTGAATGGGAAACACCTTTTTTTGTTAACTATACCAGAGTGTGAGTAAAATGTTTAATAGTATGATCTTATCGATTAGTAACAATTAATGAACAAATGTTGTTTATTATAGAAAACCCTTTTTTGCTGGCCAAAGCGCTCCTGGGAGAAAATTAAATCGACAGAGTAAAGACAACATATATGTACCAATGATGGTGGGAAGCAGTGAAGTACTGTATCACAAAAACGATGAACTCGGATTTAAAGCTATCGGATTGCCGTATAAGGGTAGAAAAGTCTATATGTACTATGTGCTTCCAAATTCGCAAATTACACTTAGAGAAATTATAGACAAAATGAACGGAAATGCACTACGTAACATATCGAGGAATACAGTTTCTTCTGAATTTATTTATTTCGTGCCTAAAATGACGCTGAAATCGTTTACTAACCTCAGTCCAGTTATGCAGGTATTATTTATTATACTCGGATAGAATTGTTGATTTTTTATTTAATTAAATATTATCATTTTTTTTTTATCTATTTACAGAAATTGGGAGTCCACAAAGTATTTGATCCGTCAAAAGCAGACTTGTCGAACTTGGCAAATGATCCGGGTGCTCATGTCGACGACGTTTTACACAAGGTAGAAATTGTCGTCGACGAAATCGGCACTGTAGCTTCGGCGGCCACCGTAGTAACCATATCGAGAGGCGGTCAGCCCACGTTCAACGTCAATAAACCTTTCTTATTTTTCATCCACCACATAGACAGCGATACGATTATTCTATGGGGAACAGTTTATAAACCGATACCACACACAACGACACCGCCGCCATCATCATGAGCTTCAAAACGTACCGAGACGGACGTTCAACTGACTTAATATTAATAAAATGTTTTTATTTATTTTTCATAACCTTGCATTTACTTATACATAATACACATATCTATATATATAATATGTAAGTTACTTTAAAATAGTCAATCAGAGAGTTCTTCTTAATACAAATTATTTTTTAGCAAATGTTATTTTCATGGCATGTGTTGGTGTGATTTTGAAACCGTTGAGTGATAATTTAGCTGTGTTAGACTGGTGTTCATTCTCAAATTCTACAAAAGCAATATCATGTCTGTTGGGTACAAGTCGCACTTCTTTAAACCCGGGAAATCTAAAACAAACAAAAATTAAATGATGGTAAAACAAAGTAAAATTATAAATAAAAATAAATATCTTTCAACTTACTGATTAAAAAGCATAGATAACATCATTTCAGTTGTTTCGTCGGGTAGGTTGGTCAAGAAAAGAATTTGATTAGGCGGCTGTTCGGGTACATCTAAAATACAAAAACGTATCATTATTTTTCAATTTAATTTATGTGTTTTACATTTAAATTAATTATTATGAAGAAAAGCAAAACGGAAAGGAGATAGCAGAAAGGAGACTGTATCAGCTGTAACTCATACGAGATACAGCAAAAATACTAATATAGACTTACTGCCTCCAACAACACCTCCGGGATTATTCTGTTGAGCCAAAGCACGAGCTTGTTCTTTAGCAGCCTTGCGCCTTTTTTTAGCTTCTTCGTCGTCTTTTGGCTTTTTAGGTTTCTTTTGGCGTTCAACAAAAGTTCCTTTCATTTTGGCAATGATATCCGATTCGGATTTAGCAAACTGTATGCGCTGTAAACAAAAATAATAATTCAATTATTAATTTAAATGGAAATAAGAATTGTTATCATGTAAAAATGAAACTGTTCCCACTCTCTCACAATATGCTCAAGAGTGATTTTATTATTTCAGTAATAATAATTCTTTAAGACCCGTGAGACTTCTAAGACTATTTGTTATTTACGCAAGACAATGTCCCCAAACATACTGCGAGAAAAGTTAAAGCTTGGTTGCTTGAAAATCTAGTAACACCACCACAGTCACCAGACATCAACCCCATTGAGAACTTGTGGGATTATTTGGATTACAAAATGTGCACGCACCACATTTCAAACAAATAAACGATTTGAAAATCGCGTTGCAAGAAAAATTGGATAAAACAACACCTGAACAACATCACACCAAGTCGAATTCATGTCAAGATGCCATTATAGAATCTAAAGGATATCCTATGAAGTACTGATTAACTAAATACCGAAAAAATGCATACAAATGTCTGTGTGGTAAAAAGGAGTATAAAATGTTACCGATGTATTCTCCCGTGATGTGCGGTAGTCAAGCATTGCATAAGTTAAAACAAGTTTTTATACATATACACACGATTTACCATTGGTTTATCATAAAAAGGAAATCCTTGCATTGCTCGTAAGGCGTTAGTCGAACTGGCAATATCTTTGAAAATAACAAAAGCCTGTCCATTCATTTTAATTCCTTTCATAGCAACAATATCTAAAATTTGTCCAAATTGAGAAAAAATGGCGTAGAGCGATTTCTTTAGATCTAAAAAAAAAAAAAAATGACTCATTTTTTAAAATATCATTCAAACGTATTACATTTTAAGCATAAACGAAAAATTTACATACCTTCTTTTTTGATCTTTTCATTTAAGTTGTTTATGTAGATTGTATGATTAGGACGTGTGTCCAGCATGTTTGAAGTTTAAAATCTAAAACAATAATCGTAACAAATTTATTTTATAAACTACAACAAACCAGCAGCAAAAAAATAACAATGTGTTTTGTTTATACCAACATATCAGGTAGGTATTATTATTTATTGGCACATTATTATTATTGATTTGTATTTTATTTGTTTATATTCATAATGAAATAATATTCATCGCCAAATTCATGCAGCTGTAATTTTGTCCACGAGCAGAGTCTGAGGATTTCTGATTTCAGCTACAAAAAAAGGCTATTTAAAAAACGACAATTTGACGGCGTAAAGTAATTTTTTGTCTTAAAATGAATTAGAACTTTGAAGGCATATTACGGTTAAAAGTTTTAGTCGATTTGTAACATTTAAAATTTAATCGAGATATAATTTACATGATAACGAGTGAATTGGAAAATATTTAATAATTGTACCTAGCGTTATTTAACATTATACCGAAACAATAGAAATTTTAAAAACAAAACATATTATAGTGTGGATATTATTTAGCAAGTTACAATTTCTTCTGTTATAGTTCTTGGACAAGTTAAACCCGTTGATATGAAAAAAACAACACCAGCATAATATGCCGGTTTTCCTTTAAAATATTTTTACAAAACACATATAATCACTCACTTGAACTAATATACAGAGAAGTTTCTTGTGGGAAAAGTGAATTTGTATCGAGCACAACGAAGCGCAGGATCCGGAAAACACTAAGAAACGCAAAACAAATAACAATATTTTACTTTATTAACAGCTCAATATAGTTTGGAAATCATAGGCCAAAGCGGAATATTCGGAAATTGTCATGATACAAACGATAACAGAACGCGTTATAAACAAAACCACAAACGAGGGGTTATAAAATCAGCCATGCCGCACTGTACTTGCGAATTGTGTTGAGAGATGGCGTTAGTGGTACCAAATGTATATTGGATCCTGTTGGACTTGCTGTTAAAAAAATTAAACAATTAAACGTTCCTTTTGAAATAAATTTCGCTTTGGTAAAAATTATTTAAAACTAAAATGCATCGACGCCTAAGCATACGATCGTGACCTCAGATATACAATATATAATATCTATATCTGTGATCGTGACACAACTAAATGAAATACATTAACGCAACGGCCAAGCCGATAACGGACGGAGGTATGTAGATAACAAAAAACACGGTTAATCACCTGGTCGCGGTCACTAACGCGGTCGAAATATGGACGACATCGTACCACGCCTCTGGTACGTCGCGGGCGCGCGAAATTCAATTTGAATTTTATTTGCTGCACGAACAATAATTTTGAAACTAATTATCCAAAACTGGTTATCGACCAGTCAAAGTATTCAGCAAATCATCCTTAATTCAAAAAGTTAATCAAATATGTACGTTACTATTTAAAAAGACTCAAGTTTACACGATTTTGTCGCTACACGCTGCTTGCCGTTAGTTTTGTTTTGACAGTAGTTAAATTTATTTTATAAAACAAATAATATAAAGTTATTATATTATGGTTTAACTTTATTTGACAAGAATTAAAAAACAAAAAAAAAGTATTGTAGACCAAGTTATCGCTTTATATTATCCCGTCTCACAAGTCGTGTTTTACGGCGACCAACATAACATTTTACTGAATCGTCTAAAATCAATCAAACCTAAAAAAATCATTAGTTTAATATGTAATCTAGTGTCTGATCGAAGCTTTTTTTTTTTTGAAAATAAACAAAATGGTGACCTCTGATCATTTACTCGCGGATTTTCAAGGAAAAAAGCACTAGTTTATTGTTTATAAAAAATATTGTTTAATATAATATAATAAAAAAAAACCTTCTATCAGGCACTAGTTTTTTATGCTTTTAATAAGCTGTATAAATTTCATTCAAATCTGTGAAGTAGTTTTTGAATTACAGTGGTCACCGACTTTGAAAAAATAGTTTCGAGAAAAACTCATTTTAAAAGTTTTATACTCGATTTATGTATAGAAATATAAATTATTTAATTACTTACATCGAGTCATCTATTCCTTTGAAAAACTTGAATTTTTGAAAATCCCGACTACCCTTAACCCCTAAGTTATATTTATAAGTATTTTCCCCGCGATAATCTCCGTGTTCGCCGACCTGACCATTATGTTGTTGTACGGTTGTTTATTATTTTGTTTTTTATTAGTCGTCCACAATCGCTTTCTGTGTAACGTCGAGTATATTTTATAACGTCGTGTAGTAATTCTAAAGTACAAAAAAAATAATTAAAAGAATATTTTTTTTATGTAAACAGTTGTTTTGTGAAAGTTGCTAAGTTAGGCATTTGCAAATATTGTTTTTTACAGATTATTTATTTTTATGCATTTTATAGTTAAAAAATGAAATTTATCAATATTTAATGGTCAGTTTTTTTTTTAATGCATATTTTGATGGTTTTAGGAGCATATTTGCATGCATATTTGTGTAATTTTTAGAGCTATAAATCCCTAAGCCTAATCATAACATAAATTACCCACCAATATATTATGCATGTTAATAATAATTAATATCATATACAGTTATTATTTATATAGTCTTCATTGGAAGTTATATTTTTTGGAATACTTAATCCAACGTTTATTTACTCGTTTATTTTACATATTATGATAATTAAATTATTACTAGGTGCATTATGTCTATTGTCCAACCAAATATAAAAGGTATTAGGTATCAAATGGAGTACACTATTAGAATATTAAATATAAATTATTTAGGTCATAACAAAAAAAAAGGTACGTATTTAACGTATTGGTTGATTACAATTATTATTCGAGATAATGTACTTGATTAATACATTTTAACCAATCTCGTCTACTTATAGGCGTAAATTAATCATATAGCGGACATGATAAGTTCGCCTTTTTTCCCCGAAGATATTATTTTGTCTATTATGTTATAATTTTTAAATATAGGCCATGATATTTTTTTGCACAACAGCCGGTATCAAAATTGATTTTAGAATTTACCTAGAACGTCTTCTAAAGTTTTTACATATTTTATTAGTTATTATTAAAGGAATTGACAATTTTTTAACGTATTCTTTAGAAAATAAATTGATATTTATTTATAGAGATATTTAAGCTACATTTTTATTTTATCAGTTTATCATCTTTACAAGTTTAGGCTTAGTTTATAAACGAGTAACGTTATAAAAATGTAAATAAGGCTGGTTGAACTTAAAAAAAACGAGTCCAAAACATATTGTGGGCTTAAACATTATTAAAACGTGCCTCTAAATTATTAATATTAATTAATAATATTATATTATAAATAATACTTTAAAAAACAGGTACCTATATCTTGTCAGTTCCGAATCCAAGCTAAAATAAATGTTTTTTTAACAAAACGTTCTACTGACATTATTTTAATATACATTATTTGATTATTTCTCTAACCGAATCACATAATAAAAGTCGTTGGACAATATAATTGGCATGGAAATATAAATTGTTGTTGATATACTTCATTATATTTTCCAATAATTACCACACAATTCGGTCTTCTTGAAAATTATTAACGTATAACTTCAAAATATGTAATCATATTATTCAACGAAATGTTAAATTTAAATGAATTGTTAACTAGCAATGTGTTAAGAGTGTTTTTAACATTAGTGGTGAAACCAGTTGAATATGTGTTAAATTTACGATTTTGAGGTTTTGGTGCTCCTGGATGCAAAGAAAAAAAAATTAGCTATAATAATAAGATAAAATCTCCCAAGTGCTAGAGCTTCTTTTAAGAATAAATAAAAAATAAAATATTTCATGCGCTATACCTACTATACAAATATAGTTTTCACGTGTGGTTTACAACGTTGGAGGCGATGTAAAAGTAAACAAAAATATGCTACAAGATAATATAATATGAGAATACAGAGGACAGCCAAATTAATTCTATAAAATTGATATATTTTTGGGTTTGTAATTTGTTCAAAAGAAATGACAACAATTTTTTTTAATTAGTTGAGAGGATATTGCATGCGTTCTGTCAGACCAGAAAGCTAGACAAAATGCCGGCTACTTAGGATTGTAGTTTATACAAATCGGCCAAAAAATTACATTAACACGGTCGAAATTTATTTTAAAAAAAAGTTTTTTTCTTAAATATTGCCTCGACAAAACTCCTTAAAAACAGTACCCCGTGCGTTATATTTACACAAACTTTGCATACTTTACATAATTTAAATTGAAGTTATTTAACACCTTCATTTATTTGACATTATGTATGACACTCTTTAATAAAATACAATAAATATTATATAATAACGTAGGCGTATAGTGTTAACAATTATTAGTATTTGTAACTACCCTAGTAAAATAATAAATATTATTATTTAAAATAAATAATAACATAATAAAATAAACTAATCAGGTTACATACAATTTACATTGACAATATAATTAAAATTACCAGAATATCATACTCGCATATGAAATAGATACCCTGCTTAGTAATAAATAATACTTTTTTTTTTATTGTTATTATTATATAATCAAACCAATGATTAATCTCTTAATTAATCCTGTTGATGCAATTTAATATTATGTAGTAGTAATTTGTTATTTATTGTATTTTTTTATTGTTATCATAATTATTAATTATTAATTGTAAATAGCTTCCAATGGTTAATGAAAATCAACATAATTACTATTTTTACAAGTGCCAATATTGTATCATTTCGTTTGTGTTTTTCCAATATATATATATTTGTATGTAACATGTAATTTAAATTTAACATAAAATAAGTAAATGGATACCATTGTGGACACTCATTGTAACTTTGAAAATTAACCAGTCGTAACAATAGATAACTATTTTTTAACTATATTTATGATATATTTAATTGTTTTTCCCTCTGTGGATTTAAAATAAACAATGTGCAGTCGTTTAATTTAACGTTTCATTATTTTACTCTTTATCCGGAATACTTTAGTGGAATGTTAAGCCATAGGCGAATAGTATTAAATTAATTATCTATTTACTTTATGTACCTATTTTATTACAGGCTAAGATCAAATTTAAATTAAAAAACAAAAGTGATTTTTATACAAGGTGTAATTATTTAGTTAGTATAATTAAACTAAATCAGACAGACATCCCAATGTTGGAGTTGAATTTTCAAAGTATGTATGGATTTGTTGACTAATTGTCTGGGTCAGATTTAACTATAGATTAAAGGGATCTGTGCACAACTACTATGTGCGATGAATAATTTATTTGTAGCAAATAGGCCCATATGGAACAAATGTACTATGTTGGAGTTGAATTTTCAAAGTGTGTATGGATTTGTTGGCAAATCGTCTGGGTCAAATTTACCTTTAGATTAAGGGGTCGGTGCACGACTGCTATGTGCAATGAATCATTTATTTGTAGCAAATAGGGCCATATGGGACAATTGTACAAATTCGCATTTATAGTAGTGCAAAGCAGTAATTCTCTTTTGTGCTTTGCATATGATATTATTTTATTTTCAACAAACACTGCTGAGATCCAAAAAGCTGTGCAATTGTAAAAGAATGGAACACATGTAAATGCAAATTTGTACATTGTCCCATATGGGCTTTTTGGATCTTAAAAGTGTTCGTTGAAAATAAAATAATATTATAAGCAAATTTGACCTAGACAATTTGTCAACAAATCCATACATACTTTAAAAATTTAACTCCAACATTGTACATTTGTTCCATATGGGTCTATTTGCTACAAATAAATGATTCATCGCACATAGCAGTGCATCTTTGTTTAATGGTGATGTTCAACGATATAAAACCAAACGAATAACAAGCAGTTGAAACATTAAGTTTGTGCATATGCCTATGAACCAGCCACTACCTACCGAGGTGCTTGTAATATTCTTAATTATTGTGTTTCCCGTAAGGAACCGTTTATTCGGTATAGTATAATATACTTTTCGAAAAGATTTTTATCATTTTTATGTAAAATGATTAACCGTGCATCGTGTTTGCTGGTTGTTTTATTTTCCGTATTCGTTCACCAACCGTTATGTGTTCTGGGTGCACCAGACGACGTTATATTCAAGCTGAGACAGCTAATGACTTACGATGGATGGCAAA